TCTATCCCTTGGGGGTCGGCGGCTGCAGGCGGTAGCCTGGTAAATAACTTTCGTTGTTTGCCAGTTTGTCAGAGAGCATCCCAGAACCATAACCACCTTGTAAATTTGGAAGAGATTCTCATCTTCCAGGTGGGTACAACATGACTGACGGAGGGTACGTCGTTCAAACATTTCTCCCCTTCCAAAACTAGTTAAACCTTATAAGGGTCCGTACATGGCTATGGCTATGGCTCAAAAATAAGCGTTCATCCAAAATTCAAAATGAAGGGTCGTTCGCCAGTGCGTTCCTTGGTCTTCTTTGAGCCTCCACATGTATTTCAATCGTTACTGTTGTTGTTCTTGTCTTTCCCAAACACTCCATGAATGTATGTACTATATGTGCCGCTCCCAAAAGCCCCTTTTGAACCACCCTGAACCGCGATCGGCCAAACAGGACCGTCCCATGAAGTGTCGACAGACCGTCCCACGAGCGACGCCCTCGGCTCTTGAAACGGTCCCATTTTTGGCGCCGATGGGTGCAGGAAAATGGTGCAGAGCCAGCGCCACCGGTCAAATCGAACGCATCGGCGGCCAAACGTTCCCTTGGCTTAGGGAAATCAGAAAGCTTCAGTTGGGAAACCATGTGCACACTAGTACAATTGTCTTCTGCCTTCTTTCAATCTTCAAATGTGGGAGTGGATGCGATGTGTTCTACTATGTTCCTGCAGCCCCAAATAGAGAAAGCTGCGACCTATAAAGTATGAAGACGTCAGGATTTCATGGAGTTTAATGGAGTGTCAACATCATACTCAATCAAACTCCTAAGAAAACATGAAACTTCTGTTCAGTACAGTGTCTTCTCAGGCTGCATCAAAATATATACCTTTCACACATCAGGTGATACACCATGTATTTTTGACCCAAATGGCTGTAGACAGCTAGCCGGCCGTTTCCTCTGGATTTCTCACAAACACATGGTCATTCCCATTCATAGCATTCCCGCAATCCCATTCATTCCCTTTGGGCGTTTGTCCGCCAAGTTGGTACGCGTCCAGGAAAAGCGATCACATCGACGGTGGGTCCAGCTCAGCTGAGTGATTAAAACCCCGAGCGGTGACGGTTGGCACCTCAAACTGACCGGTGCGGCAAGTAGGGAAGAGGGAACATCTAGAGAAAACCATGGTTTTGACACGGTCTTCCCAGAAACATCCTGAAACCAATTCTGGGAAACATGTGAACAAACATGAACAAGCAAAAGCATACTAAAGGATAGAGTTGTGGCCGATGTTTATCTCTTCTCCGTTGTGTTGTGGAGAACTTCAACATGCTCGTCAAAAAATAAACAACGTCTTGCAAATGGCGAGGCAACATAGTTTTAACAGTGGGTTCCGTCTAATTACCCTTTGACTAGGAAGGGGGTGCACCCTATATCATTAACAACATTGCCTTCGTGTTGGATGATCCTTGCTTTGCCACGATGTCGGCCCCCCAACCTTTTTCGTTGCGAGGCCACCATGACGTTGACCTCTGCCCGCCGGTCAGTTTTTCTTTGCAATGTCAATCTTTGGAAGTGATTTGGGGAGTTTCCCCTCCAAATGCCAGTGGAGAGCCAGAAGCCACAGCAGCCTGGCCAAGGTGCAAAGGAAGAGAACGAGTCGGGTTGATTCATATCTTGCAAGGCAGAGGTCTGGGACACCAAGGCTTTGCTAAAAACAAATTTTGGGTGGCTGCCAAAGAAAGGAAGACGTCGTAGACCCTGACGCCACTAATTACACAAGTGGCAAACATGTTCCTAACAAAGTTGCAACAATCACCAAGCATGGCAGCATTGGCATGTTTCAATCTGCATTTACCAGACAGGATGGGCCAACGGGACGGAGTTCAGTTGGGGAAGGTTTTTTAACAAAAATGTTCAGCCGCTAATCTTTTGCCATGTTGTGACAACTAGTGACAACAATTTCGGAAAGACTCTCATGTAGGTTTGTGATGCAACATGATGCAGTTTGCGAAAACGCTCTGGGCTGCCCCACACTGTAGGTATGGCAATCGCGACGTTGGTCACCAAGTGATGCGTCGTGGACAGCTTTGGATGGTGTGAACCTCTTCCGTGCTTGTGGCCCTCGGCGACAGAATCAGGGTCTCGTGGAACAACGCAATCCAAGATTGAGTTGCTTGGGCGCAACGTGCCGAAGTCCCGGATAAAACTTGTACAAGACTTGATCATGCTTGGGCTGTCTGCGACTCTACGTGGAGGTCTTCCTCAACCTGCGAACCAAAATTGACACGAGGCCAAGATACCATCACCCCTCATCCCGCAATCTAACACTACATGCTGAAACCCACTCCTGCCTTCTGAGTCTAGTCCCACATTGTCTCTACCACGTGGGTGGCAAGCCCCGAAAGCGACAGTCAAAGCAGGCAAGCCGGGCCGGATGAAAGTATTTGCCAAGAGGCTGCTGCGTGCTTCCTGCGACACACCGTTGAAACATCATGTCATGTAGAGCACGTGTTACACGATCAAGAGCCTCAACGCCGCCCCGCGCCAGATAGGAAGGTCTTGTGGCGCGCTTGCGCACCCTCTTGGGGGAGCCGGCCAGGAGCGCAAGTGGAGCGCAAGTGGAGCGCACAGCACGGCGCAGCACATGAACTCACACCGTCTCTAGGGGCACTTCGCGCACCTGAACTTACACAATGCCAGATCCGCAGCCGATCAAGAGAGGTAGCCAGTGACCTGAACTAGGACCTTAACCTGGGGTACCCAACTGGGATCGTCTATAAAGTCCTTCAACCTCTGTTGGGATATCATAATATCTCGTTTCAGATTCATGGCTGATGTTTGCAACGCGCAAGACTTGCAGCTAGCTGATTTGGTGGAGCGCCAGGAGAAACTCTGATTTGGCGGAGCGCCTTCGCGATCACTCCACTTCAGCAATGGGAGGTGATGTGTTGGGCTTCTACAGGATGGCTTCCACAGGTCTGTCAAAATTGGTCCCCAAATGGTGCCCTTTTCCAACCTGCTCTCAATGAATGCCCTCACAAACAAACAGTTTTGCTTCAGCATTTGACCATCCCTCCTGTGACAAAAGGGGGGAGAGTAATTGGTCAATTGAGAGGACAAAGTTTCTAACCCTCTAGATTCTACAATATGGAATTTTAGTTATAAGTAAGTTATAACTTTAGTTAGGGAACTACAAGTAAAGTTGTAGTTCGATAACAGAACTTGTATTAGGATAAGTATGTATAACTATAGTTATACTTAAGGAATTTAACATAGAGTTATAACTTAGTCAGGCTAGAACAAGTTAGATGTAAGTAATTTATAACAAAACCGGGTGGAGTTAGATGGAAGTTATAACTTAGTTAGGTCTTAGTTATACAAAGTTATTTCGAGTTATTCATAGTTACAAAACTGAGTTTCACCAAAAAACATTGTGCACTCGTTCAGTCACACGGCGGCATGCCCGTGTTATATATTGTGATATACATGGAACACTTCCGCTGCCGTTTCTGCCTACAGTCGAGGGTTGAACGCGGCGCATAGCCTGTATGTGCGCAGAGGCCATGTTTTTGTTTTTTTCGCGCTTCGCGGCGGGATATATGTATATAATATATATATATGGGTGCTTCTCATCTGACATCTGCGTGATGTCCGGGCCATGTAGGTGTCTGCGTGACATCTGTTTACAGATACCCATGGATCTGCGTGATCTATAAGGGGGATCTGTGTGATCCAATAGTATGTTGCACCCCGCCGGATCTGCGTGATCCGTGCAGGATCTGCGTGATCCTTTGGCGCCCACCGGATCTGCGTGATCCGTGGAGGATCTGCGTGATCCTTCGGCGCCCGCCGGATCTGCGTGATCCGTGGAGGATCTGCGAGATCCTTCGGTGCCCGCCGGATCTGCGCGATCCGTGGAGGATCTGCGAGATCCTTCGGCGCCCACCGGATCTGCGTGATCCGTGGAGGATCTGCGTGATCCTTCGGTGCATGCCCACCGGATCTGCGTGATCCGTGGAGGATCTGCGCGATCCTTCGGCGCCCACCGGATCTGCGGGATCCGTGGAGGATCTGTGTGATCCTTTGGTATATACCCACCGGATCTGCGTGATCCGAATCTGCTTGATCCGGGAGAATCTGGGGGATCGGAACGTATACGTATATATAGTTAAAATTTTTTAATGTTCGCAACGTAAGATAGATACGTTAGAGTGTCCGACCGTTGTCTTCCATGCAGGCGATGGGGAACACTGAGCAGCCCGCGGAGAGCTACGAGTCGGAGTCCCTGGAGTCGGCCGAGGAGGAGCGCCCACACGAAGAGGATGTCCCGGTGCCTGTGCTGAAGCCACGGGAACCCGAGAAGCCAGAGAAGGAAATGAAACGCAAGAAGCACGAACGCTCCCGAGAGCGACGCGCACGGGAAGACAAGGGAAAACGAAGCAAGGCAGACCGGAAGGAGCACAAACAGAAAGCGGATGGAGGAAAGCGCGAAAGATCTGCGCGCGATGACACCCGGAAGTCGGAGAAGGAGCGTATAGACTCATCCGCGAGAGGAAGAGGATCAGCCAGAGCGCTGGTCCCGTCGTCGAGATGAGAAGGCCAAGACTTGTCTGCGAGACGAGGAGCAGCGTGAGGACAAGCGAAACCGCGGTGCGACCGCGGCAGAGTTTGTCCGTCCACGCGCGGCATCAGCTCCACCTGCGTACGCCAGCGGCAGCAAGACCAAGTGTGGGATCTGCGGGCAGACCACCACCGCTCACAGCAGTGGGCAAGAGCAACATCGGCGCGCGAACCTGCTCTGCCTCTCATGGCAGCACTGGGGTCGCCTGGCCAAGGACAGCCAAAAGCATCCGTCCGCCTGGCAGAACTGTCAGGAACGCGCGGCCAAGGACCAAAGGAAATACATGGGATGGGGAACACGCCCTGAGAAAGAGGAAGAAGTGGATGTGTTGGTGGATTCTGATGAAGAAGAAGACCCGCCTGCGAGGCAGGGAGCCGCCTCGCGCCGCGCCACCAACAAGGCCACATCCGTCCGGTCCAAGCTGGCCAAGAAGGAGAAGAAGAAGCGAGCTGCGCGTAAGTCTTCTTCCTCTCCGCCAGAGGTCAAACGCCCCAAGCACAAGAAGCCCAGGTCCACGTCCAGCAGTGACGGACCACGCCCGCGGCGTCGTGGAGGCCAGAAGATCTATGTCCAGGTTGGATGAGCCCTTGACTTGGGAACGGTGCCTGTGAGAAAAGGAAGCTTTGCGCGCAGGGGACGGGGCGGGGTGTATAGTTTCGTTGGTATATATAGATATATAATATTTGTTCTACACGTGTATATGTATATATATATATAACTACGTTTTTGGTTGTCGGCCGTTTGTCGGCCCCCCTCCCCGAAGACCGGCATCGTCGCCGCGTCGGCCCCATGTCGGCCCCAACACATGTGTTCATAGCGCACATGCAAGGGCTGTAATTCGTGAAGTCGGCCATTCGTCGGCCATTTGTCGGCCGCATACTTTCGAAATCTTTGTTCCCGCAATCCGTTGAGTGATATACAGCTGCTCGAGCACGCACTCCCGTACGCTTTCGTTGTCGGCACAGCATGGACGCCTCGAAGCCTGTGGCGGCGGGGGTGGTGGCTGAGGTGGCGGCTGAGTGCCGCCACTGCAAGCTGTGATATAGGACGCTACCTGCGACTACCCCTGGCCGAGTCAAAGGCAAGACTTGGCAGCGTCGCGCATGCTTGTCCTTGCACAGCATGCTCTACAGGAACTTGGGTCCTGGTGTTCTCGAGGAATGGAATGAGGAGCAGAAGCGGAGCTTCTTCCAGAAGGGTGTTGCGTCGTGTCCCGCCCAAGGCAACACGTCGTGAATTCCGAAAAGAGTTGGTTTCCGGTCTGCTGCATACAGCGGACCCAGCTGGACTGTGTAGCAGATGGTGCGTCTTGTCTGATGCGCTATGTTATTCGTGCGCTGCACACGGAGAGGCACGAAGGAGGTTTTCCTGTTCGATTTGCTGCGGGCACCCAGACTGTGCGTCTGGAGCCCAGAAGCTTCTTTGTGGGGGATCACGACGCCCAGCGCGCAACGTATGGAATCAAAGGAAGTGCAGGCCATGGTCCCCTGTGGTCACTGCAGCAACGTCCTCAGTCGGCACTCCAAAGTTCGTCCGGAAGGCTTTGCATGACCTGTCCCGCTGTCATCCTCGCACGGATGACGCTTATCAGATGTCTGTAGATGCCTTGCTACAGCCCCTGCCGAAGGTGAGTCGCACGAAGAAAGAACAGGCGACTGGGCTGCGCTATATGCCCTGCGGACTCATGTTTTGTCCGGAGGCACGTGCGCGGCTACCGTTTTCCTCCTCTGCAGACGCCACGCACGACTACTTCTCTAATGGCGTTTGTTCGCATGAGATCGGATATATGATCTCTGAACTTGAGTCACACGGTGTGCCACTGACGGCACTGTGTGATGCTGCTGTGGAGAGCGGATGGCGTCGTCGAACACAGGGTGCGAAATTCCGACCCCTGTATTTGTCGAAAGAACTCTGGCATCCAAAAATGTTTGAGGGCGGTGCCTTTCGTGGTTGCGCCGCAGATTGCGCAGCTTTGTTGTCTTTGCTTCACTTGTATGTGGTCCGTCTCCTCGTTGAGACGGACCGTAGCGTGGCAAAGACGACATCCTTCGAGTCCTTAGTGGAAGTATGCCGTGAGATTTCAGTGTTGAGATCCTGCGTGGAACTCATCTCTGATCCCGACAAGGTATTACCACTGGCCAGGAAGCAAGAAATCCATCAGGTAGCTTTCGTGGCTGCCTATGGCGAAGAATGTGTGCGACCAAAACACCACCACAGAATGCGACGTCCTCAAACTTGGATTTGTCCCACATTGTGCCCCCATGGAAGCAAAGCATCGGGCTTTGAAGGGTGGAAGAATTGTGGACAACCAGAAGCGCTATGTCAACGCGCCCGCGGATTTCCAAGAGGGGGTGCTGCCTCGGCTCCTGTTGGCGGACATATCCGAAGATGATCCCTGGACGTATGTCTTGCTGGGAGTGTCACATAAAGCTTCGTCCCACGCTCGGTCTTTCTTTGGCGACGACAGTCTGCAACACAGTACCACTGCGCGTGGTCTGATCGGCTCTCTCCACGTGGGAGATGTGGTGATCTGGAAGTGGCCCTCGCACGCGGGGCGCGTGCTGGAACTGGTCCGGTCGACCACTACACCGCTGCACGTCTCTGTCAGACGCCTGCGGCACTCTGGAACCACCAAGTGGGGTTCGACGTGGCGTCTGACAGACGAGGTGACCTGGCATCGAGTGGACCAACGGTACCGACTCGATGGCCACCGGCGAGCTGGTGGCGACAGATCGATCAAAGTATCGACTGTATACACTGAAGCGCAAGCATCGGCTGTAGTTCGTGCGCGGAAAAAAAGCGTCTTTTTTAGGGAAAAAGAAGGTAGTTAGTTCTTAGTTATAAGTAAGTTATGAACTACCTATGGAACTTATAAGTAGGAAATAACTTAGTTATAACTTCGAGTTATAACTAAGATATAACTGACTTCTTGTAGGGTAAGTTAGTTATAACTTTACAACAACTAAGATTCCATATTGTATACCTCCGACATGTCCTAGTTCATTGATTTACCGTACCGGACCAGGCCCCCAAACCGCGTCCCGTTCACCTCGACTTGGAGGCTTCGTCGCCTGATATGAAGGACCCTGTTCGTCGAGTCTTCGCAGGGGGAATGCACAAGAAGTTCTGACCACGCTTTGGCCACGAAATGGAAGACCACTGCCTCGAACAAAACCAAATGGGACACTCTGTGGCATACTATATAATACACATTGACATACCTAGGAGATCATCCTTTCGGTAAACATTCTGGCCATTTGGTCGGGAGCTCCGCGGCTCAGGAGCTCTGCGTGGATCTTCAGCGGATGCGTCGCCCGTGTCGCGTCGATCGAACCTGCGAACGACACCGGACCTTCGTGGCGACCGGACGCGTCGTGGAGACCGGACTCGGCGGTTCGATCCCGGGTTTCGGGAAAAGGATCGAAAGGTCGGTAGAGCAGAGGTTCTCCGAAGCAAGGCGAAACACCGTTCAAAGGCAGAGAATCTACCAATCTATATCAATACCACCATCATTCCAGAGGCTCATGCCGACTCATGCTGAATGTCTCTATAGCTGCAAACAGTTGGAGGGTCCATCACACTCTGTGCAGTGGAAGCTTCGTTCTGATGTCTAACTAGTGTGTCTCGCGAGTGTGTGTGGGTTGCGATGCGAGGTGCTAGCCAGGCCCAGTCCTGACTCTGGTCCTCTCAAATCTGTGGTGGTTGCGGGGAAGTGGCAAGCTGGGTTGGTGGCTTCAACTCGCTTGAAACATATTAGTCGGTCCATAAAATCCCAGTGTAAAGGTCGAAAATAAGAATATTGAATATCCGTCATCACCACCCAGCGGGAAAAATGGCCGAGTAACTGCACTTCAAACTTAGCCAAACACTTAGTAACTGGACCAATCAAACTGCCGAGATAAGAGTCCAATTACTCTGCGGCAGGTTTGTTTGGGGAAGAAGTTCCTACAGTCCATTTGACCCTGTTTTGATCGGAAAGGATCAAGGATCATACATTTAATGCTGGTGCGTAACAGAGGTCACTCAGGTTCTAGGTTGACTTTGCACCAAGAGTTCCGTTTGGTGATCTTCAATCGCCAGCTGGCTCAATCTCACACTCCTCTCTCGTCTGATCCAATCACCGGCGAAAGACGGCAACATGCCGAAGATGGAAAAACACACAACAAAACCATGGCACTCTTTGGAGGAATCCTTGTTGAACGGGAATGAGTGAGGGGCGCGTCTGTCAGACTTGTCATCCCGTCTGAACTTATAGACTATCCCATAGGTACCCCAGTAAGGTCCTAGTTCAGGTCACTTAACCGACTTCACCCTCTCTTGGAGCACCCCAGGGACAGGTTCTCCTGTGCATGAGCAGCTCTGCCATGACTTGTGCCAGGCGCTCGCCCGCTTCCAAGACTTGCGTCTCAGCACGGCGAGAAAGGGTGGACTGAGAGACACCAAGCAGTTGGCGAGTCAGTGAGCTACACGGAGCTACAAACAATTGCACACACACACACACACACTCCATGGGATTGCAATCTTTACCTACAGTGACCCCTTTTCAACCACCCCAATGTATGTATGTATGTATGTATGTATATATATATATATGCCAGTTGAAACTGAGTGTCTGAGAGTTGCACTCATACTCACAAACACACACACACACAAATACACACCAGTTCTTGGTTCTCACACTGACCCTCGCTTTGCCTTCAAAAGGGCACCTGTTTTTGGTCCATGATTGGTTCGACCATGACTTCTTCATACTCAAACTCAAGCAAGGTTCCAGGGTCCAACTAGGCTTCGGGCCAATATCAACCCATCAAAACCAGTAAAATCCATCATCAACGTCTCTTCTTCAGTAGTCAATCTCTACAGAACCCCCCAAAAGCCTCGGAAGCAACTTCGGTGAGGACCGACCGGTTTCTTTGGGAGGCTGGAGTCCAACCCAGGGCGTTTTCATCTCAACCAGCTACGCCTTTCGGATGGTTCACCGAAATCGGAGACGTTGACTTCTCGGATCTGTGGTACTGTCATGTGGTTTCTGCACGGCATTGATGACAATGACCAAATCCAAAATCCAGTGTCATCCATGAAGAAGTCCAGGATTTACCATCCGGAAAATCCGAATCCGAATCAATCATAGAATCTGTCATGTCCCATGAAAATCACCCCACCATTCGCTGATTCAGCATGAATCTTCAGGATGTTGATAGGATTTGGGCCACTACTTTCGTAGCTTCTCTTTGGTGTGGCCATGACCAGCAAGCCACGGTGTGCCCATCGCTTCGAGCCATTCAGCCACGGTGTGTGGCCTTTTGAGGTCCGACCATCCCCTCTGTGACCATCCCCTGGCTATCTACTAAGTAGATCTATGTACCAGCAGAGATGGGTCAGAACCCTATAGACTATCCTACAGGACCCCAGGTATATAGGGCCCTAGTTCAGGTCACTGGCTACCTCTGTAGCTAGTGGCTAGTCCGACACCCCTGCTCAGGTCGGATCGTCGTAGATCTTTTCTCTCAACTGCGTCATTTGAGAAGAGCAAACATCGAGGCACCATTTTGCCTCAAGCCTTCACCGAACTCGAGAACAGCCTGCGCTTTCGGTCAGCAAGCTTTGCTCGTTCGTTTTCGGACTGGAATCCAACTCGAGAACAGCCTCCGTCGCTTTCGGTTTGCTCCCTGTCGTTCGCTTCCGCTGCATGGAACTCCAACGGGAGTTGAGATGATGACAAGAACGCTCGGTGAGCTAGACGCCAGTTGGCTTCGGTGAGCGAATGTTATCCCAAGCCTCCAGCTTGGCCTGCCAATGTCACCCCGTTCACACCGCATCCGAGGACCACTCGGCGTCTCAAAAGGTCTTCCGACACGGGACCTCTGCTTAGTTCCAAAACCACTGTGGATTCCCTCAAGACTCAAGCGTTCAACGGCGGGCAGGACAAGATAAAGCTCCTCTTTCCAGAGCTACACCTCCGCCACACCGGAGCAGCCATCCTCAGCTCTGCAGGTCCGTGACTGTCGGCTTCCATGGCTTCCTGCTTCCACAGTGACATGGAAGACTGGTGACTGGAAGACTTCTTCGTGGTCGTGGAAGCCTTCTTCTTCTTCTTCTTCCAACAGTGGTTGAAGGACCCTATACACTATCCTATAGGTACCCCAGGTGACGGGTCCTAGTTCAGGTCACTGGCTACCTCTGTTGCTTCTTCTTCTTGGGTCGCTGGTCACTGTCCATGGCGTTCTCCGATGGACTACGGACCGACTTCACGGGTTCCCACCCTCCCTCGATGAGAAAACCGCGTGGCCCCGGCGGGAAAACCCCGTGCTCGCTCCGTCGGTTGAGGGTGGACCACTAGATCAGACGATATCCCTATGGATCCACTGCCACCTTCTCAGAAGCTCATTGGTTTCCCCAGGCCTACATATACATAATTCGTCTCCCTCCTCACCGTACCTCAGAGGGTGCCAGTGGATCCATATAGGGGTTTGAGCCCCGCCTCCATTGGCCGCTCAGCCCTTTTTCTTTTCCTCGTCCCATGGCATCTGTCCGGTCCCATGATGTGCACCGCCTCGTAGAGGATGCGCCACTGACGGACCGTCTCGGTGTCCAGCACCACACCTTGCAGGTCTCAGGTGTGGCGAAGGAGGGAGGGAACAAAAGAACTGCTAGGGGTCCAGTAGGGTACAGTATGGTCCAGTGACACAGTGACATCCCGAATTTTCCAGAGCACCTCCAAAAGCACACGTTGTTGGCACACGAAAAACTGGTTTGAGAGGAGAAGCCAGGTGTCTGATGACTTTCAGAGGCTTCGGGTAGTATAGCCTACATTGGGCCTACATGGTTTCCAACCTCTGCCAACGCTTCAGCCGCCCAAGTACGCCACCCTCCCAGTGTGCCGTCTTCTGAAAACCGCTACCGTCGGGATCCCGGATCCGGGTTTGGACCCATGCTCAGTGGCTCTGGATGTGTCTTCTTCTTCGAACTGACGGCCTTTTTGCGATTGATGACCCCGACACGACGAATGGAACTGCCATAGGACTGCCGATACATTGACCCCCCAGTCAACCACCCCTGGACTGATCGGCAGTCCTATGGCAGTCCCATGGAGTGTATGGGAGTCATTTTATTCCCCAAATCCGCTCCTGGAAGAGACACACATACATGTCATGGGATGTTATGGAATCTTGAACACCACGCCCGTTTCTTTTTGTTTGGAAGATCCTCTGGTCCATCATCTGCCCGCTGTCCGGTGGGCCCAAATGAACCGGTCTCTTCCCCGGTGTCGACCGAACTTGGTTGGTCCACCGGCCGGTGTCGACGAGTCGGACCGGTCCTTGGTCGGTCGGTCCCGGTGCTTTTGCTCCAACGAAGAAGACCAAGACCAGTTCTCCAAAGACCAGTTCTGCGCAGAACGCCCTCTGTACCTGGACCCTCCTGTCGGGGTGTCCTGGCTGGACTACCCCACACTACCTAGGCTTCCATTGGGCACCCCTTGGAGGGTCCTGGTAGAGAATGCGCTCTGTAGAGAACGTGTTCACCGCGTTTGTTCTACAAAGCGGTGATATCATTTCACCCTAAGAATCCGAGTCCGGGCTCTCCATGGGGGTCGGGGTCGGACCTTCTCCACCGTTTAACGCAGGGGGATTCTGGTCCTGGCGCGGTTCCCAAACCCTATGTGTTGCGGAACAGGCCCGGGATTCTTAGGGGAACTATGTCATCTATCACACCTTAGCCGTATCATGTATTTTTGTGAGGTCTAAGCTGCCATCAACCCGCCTGTCAACCCTGTCACTCTCAACATGAGACCCACCACCTGTCGGTGGATAACACATGGACATCTACTACTCCCAAAGACTATGGCATATGTTCTATACAGAAATCCGGGCTGTTGATGTCAGGGATCAATGTAGGTAAATATATGCCAGTCCCATGGAGTGTTGGGGTTCTATACATTGGGGCTGTTGAAAAGGGGTCAATGTCAGGTAAATATGCCAGTCCCATGGAGTGTGAGTTTGGGACTTCTACTTCTAGACCTAGACTTCAATACTTCGGTGGTGGAGGTGTACATGGACGTTGACCCAAAGTATGGCTTGCCCAGAGTATCTGCTATTCTTCGGGGAATTCCAGCCACAAGAGGAACTGCCCATCAACACTAGATGCCGTTTGATACCATGTGAGTTGTTTTAATCCAACCCAGACGCTATCACCACATATCACCACTCTTGTGCTATATAGACCCCCAAATAGATAGAAAAGTAGATCCCCACTAAAAAATATTGGACACCCGTTACTATCCATTTGGAGATCACTATATAAACTATTTCTGGCCTTGATAACCTATATGTGTGTTCCTATCGCGATTGAATCCAAAGTCATCTGTGCATGAACACACCAGTTCAAGGCTGAGCCGTGGAAGACGACGTTCACTCACGTACATTCCCCGACTCGCGAGCTCGAAGCGACTCAGCCAAGGGTTGTGTTTGCCCTTGCGTAACGTTCAGCTTATCATAGATCTGCTGACACACCTTGCGATCGGAATGGGTCGTGACACCGGAATTGACCCAAGGTCGTGACACCTTAGAATTCTGCTGACAACTTGTGATTGCACATGGTCGATTCGAAGGGAGAATATGGAGAATGAATAGGTCGTGACTCACCATGTAGCGACCTTTCCAGTCTACCGTGTAGCGAGCGACCTGGCAGGTGAATCAAAGTATAGTGTTGACCCACAGCCATAGGTCCATGTTTTGCCAAGTATTGGATAGTAGCAGTTCTGTATCGATGTTGCAAGTCCTGAGCTATCAGATTCCGAAGAACAAGCAGCTATCGGCTCCATAGCTTCTTCCACTCAAGACTCAGTTAGATGGACTTGTTCAATTTTGTGGATTGTGATGTGCCTTAATATGAAGGAAGCACCCCAGCCCCCACTCAGGAAAAACGACCTATTAAGGGGTGCTTCATTGTGACCATAGTTAGCCCAGTGTTGCAGACGGCTTTAGACCCTAGGGATCCACATATCCCTCTGAGGTACGGTGAGGACGGAGAAACTGTTTATGATCTTTTAGGTGCCAGGAGTGTCCAGTCATACCTAACCTGAGGTTCGGTATGACTGGATCCCTAGGTATGACCCCTAGGTATGACTGGATCCCTAGGTATGACCCCTAGGGATGACTGGATCTGATTCTGTTTCTTCAGATCCTCTCAGCTCACCCGCTGTCGTCCAGCTGTCTCACACACGATGTCCCACACTCTCAGCTCAAGGCCACTTTGGACTGATCACTTCCTGAGTGACCCCGAAAGGAACGCCGACCCTGGGAGTTCAAACCTTCAAGGTTGACCTGGGTGGTTCCAACTCCCTGGGTAATTGGAGCTTCTCACACCTCCGCACTTCTATTGCCTTCAGATGTGCCATATGTCGACATCAGACGCAACGAGTTTAGCCGCCCAGTCCACAGCGAACCCGACGTGAGAGGAAAACGCCGTTGAGCCCCGGTGAAAACTGCAGACATTCGCAGTTCGACTCCATGCAGGGTGTCCAAACATCAAATCTTCTCAGTGGATCAACGATTCCTCTCCTGTTGCATATTGGGGCCTCTCTCCATTCTAGACTTGTTTCTTGTACAAGGAGATTCTGCCCCCACTCACAGAAAGCCACGTTTGTTAAATTTGGCAGCTTCGTGTGGTCATGTGGGTTTGCTTGATCTACAATCTATATGAAATATTAGTCTACAACGTCCTTCGCTTTGGAAAAAATGCTTGTTTTGCCTAAGGACCATCATGATATACTATATATATCTGTTAATCACTCAGAAATGGTTCGGTGAAAGGTGTTGTCACATCGATTTCATGACTACTGTGGCACATAAATCAACCCTCCATCCGACAAACTCCACAGCACTGCAAAAGAATTCCAGTTCTTTAGCTTCCACGCCCAGCCAATCGTGCCGTGCTAACCACGCAAAAGTCCGGGGAGAAGAACAATTCTCCCAAAAAATCCCGTGATGGCCCGACATGAGTTGAGCCGGAACTCCCCAGGTGGCAAAGACTTCTCCCGGATGCTTTGAGAAGTGCTGGAGCTTCTTCATCATCCTGCGCTTCGGGCGGTGCGGAAAGGACTGGCTTCGGTCTGCGCTGACCGCACCACCGTGGCCACCACATGGGAAGCACGGATTGAGCGCCCATGTGCGCACACAAGGCTGCAAAGGCTGCAAGAGAACGGGAGCTTAGTTAGAGAGGCAGCATGCTGAGACTGGACGGATTTCTTCTATATTTGTTCTTGCCATACAAGGCGTGGATGGTAATGGAGCCGTTATCAATTAATATACTATGTTGTATGGTTTTGAACTGATATTCCAAAGTATCTTCCAGTTTGATTGCCATCTTGATTGCCATCTTGCACCTAACCTGCATGGAAACAACAAATCCAAACTGAGGTTGCCAAGTTCTTGAGGGATATGAATGCCTCACTCAACACATGAAAACCATAATCAAAGCATATCCAACCTGTGGCTTCAGCTAGCAAAATTAAGACAAATAACTAACAACACTGACAAATCACCTTGTCAAAATCAAAAACCACCTGCAGTGTCCAAAACCAACCCCGAAATGCCTACCCCCCCAAAACCAGCCCCTCTCCCTCTTCGGCCTTTCAACGAAAAACCCAGACCTCTCCGTCCGTGGAGAACGAGAACTCGTCCGTCCCCTCTTCCGCCACGCGGCTCGCGGCGGCTCGCACCTGCCCTTGCGATCGAAGATGGCAAAATCATGGAGCTGGAACTCCATTGGGAGCTCTGTCTCCTAAGATCGACCAAACGCAGTGGTTGACCTCTGGGGATGAAGAGGACCTCCATGAGTGACCGGATGGAGCTTTTGCTAAGGACACCGTTATTGTTTATTACTGTATTTAGTTTGTTATTGTTTATGACCGTTTTAGTTTTACTTTCTATTGTGTCTATTCTTTTTTTTCGGAGAGGACCCTCGGTCGGTGGATGACTGAATGTGGACTCCATCCAAGTCTGGTCTGGGTCACCCGTCTGAGAGGTCACCCGGTCGGTGGCTGGTTTTATGACACCCTGTTTACAATGATCTGAGTTGATGCAAGGTCTCTTGGAGCAAGGGAACCAAATGGATATAAGTTTGATATAAGTATGCCCTCCACTGCATAAGTTCATGATCTGAGTATGCCAGTAAAAATCTTAAACAACTTGGGTGGATGGTTCATGAAAAAAAAGGGTGAGTGCCCAGTGCCCAGTGGTGCAAGATCCTAATGCAAACAATGGATCCTCTTCATTCAGACCATTCTACATAATTAGCTGGTTTGAATCCCGCATGGGGCTCCAAGCACCACAAACCGGAGAAATCCACCAACTTGACCCCACCCCCCGCCAAATCCGCCCAGGTTTGGGCACAGCATGGCAGAACGCCACACGTCCGTGGCTGGGACACATCCACTCCGGTTGGCCGAGCATCCCAGAAGTCAAAGAGAGAATGATCCTGCCGTGGGCACCACGGCAGAAGCGGTGCTATGAAACCAAAGGGACAGGCATCCTGAAACCAAGCCCCTTCAGTTCCTGAAAAAAAACCATTGGCCATGAAAAGGCCAGCAACGCTGTGTCATCTAGAAAGGCCCCGTCGCCCAATTCGATCCCGGCTCCTGAGAATCCCGGGTTCCCAAGAGCACCTCCATACCCAAACACTCCATGTATGCCATGTAATATATGCCTACATTGACCCCCCAAACCACCCCAATGTAGGCATATATGGCATACTGGAGAGTCTGGGATATAAGATAGTTCAACATTTGAGCCACAGTATGCAGGTGTTTTAGATGGTGAACAGCTGGTTTGTGAGGGTTCCTTGAACCCCCACTGGTATGATGCCAACTCTGGGCAGTTTCTTTTGGGCCCTGAGCTTGACTCAGCTTGATCCTTGGGGATGCAAGCCTCGGAAGACTCTGAACAACAACTCACTTAGGCAGCATTCTTGCAGAACATAAAGCACTCGCAGCTCATATCAAAAATCCCAAGAAATTTCCCTGAGCACTATATTGATCTGAATTTGATGGATACAAATACCAGAATTCTGCTTGAAAGCTGGTATCAACATCAACTAAACATATCCTCTAAACCCTGACCCTCACTCCATCAGCCTGACCCCCACACCGGCCTTTTGTTGGGGGAACCAGTCTATTGCCGTCTGTTTGTTCTGCTTTCTCACAGCACCAGCACCAGCAATCCTGGCCACGGATCACCACCGTGAGGTTCTTCCCGTAGTCGAAGTCGCCACGCAGCCAGTGCAGCGGCTGATGCATGTCCTCTCCAAGGCGCCGCGAGGCGAGACTCACGCGGCAGTCACGGTCGTGGTGTGGTATCGTGGCAACCCGCAGATCGCCTGGGAAAAGGACCCGGAGTGGTTTTTGGCGCAAAAAGCGATTCTCTGGTTTTCGGAGTCTAATACTCCAATACCCTGTATGCCTCTCAATAGTTTCAAATGAGCTCATGGGTGAAGCATTCGCCAGCATGGTATTCACATTGACATTATTATCTGATTTGTACTGCACTGACTGCATCAATGGAATCTATCTAGTAGGTGATCGTTTCATCTGTGATTCGCACTGCACATGTGGAAGTGTTCCCGCCCCCGAGAGCAAGAGGTTGGTGTGTGGATGCTGTAAAATGGAGCTGCATGGAGGACACCTCCACAGAGTAGTCGAGTCTGGGCTGAATCGAATTGATCATTCCCAAGAGAGTGGCATACTCTGACTTCAACATACAAACCCATACAAACCCAAACGCTCCATGTAAACAACGTGTCCTTTTTGATTGAAACGGCCTTGCACTCCAAACCGTGGATCCCAAGCTCGACGACTTCGAAAACCCTCCCCGGCGGCGGGACCGACGCGGACGGCCCCAGTCCCCGATGAAGATGGCGAGCCATCGCAGCTCGTCTTCCGGTGTTTTGAGCATCTCCTTGGTTGGTGCCATGCCATGCGGAGGGCTCTTCTTCTTCTGATGATTGCGAACCTTTGAGCGTTCTAGTTCTGGAGAGAGATCTGCCAACCGCGTTGTTCCGGGTTCTTTGTGAGCTTTACAAGCAAGTAAATCTTGGAATCGATAGACATTATATGCATGCACATCATTTCATATTCAATGGATATTCAATGGTTTGTTTCACCTTGGGTGCTCCAATTGCATCCACTGTAGAGTCCAGCCCACCCTATGCTGCGATTCTGCTGTGCTACTGGATGGTGGGGACCGTGGTTTGAGGTGTGCTTTTGCAATCCTCAAATCTGCTCCAGGAAGAGTGAAGGTAGATGTAACCCAATGTCCTCACGGACTAGATTGATAGGAACCCCAATGTCAAACCAGCGGGCCAAACCAACCAAAACACTGACACCTCAACAAGTAACCCTCAGGACTTGCGATGACTTGTATGACATCACTTGATCAAGATCCAGCACCTTCTTTCTCGGATGTCCCTGTCTTTCCCGGTGGATCTGTTCTTCTCATCTGCTTCAGCGTCCGTGTATTGCGCCGCCTCTGGAAGCCGCTTGAAGTTGGACCAGTAATCCGACGGTTTCGGCATCCTGAGCGCAACCGACGGTTTCGGTGGATCCGGAAAAGGGAAAGACGAAGGAATGAGGAACTAGAGGACGATGAAAGGGCTCTCTATATGAAATGGGTAATTGTATACATTAGATCACATAATAGTATTCATGATATGATGTACCTGGACCATCCAATGGGTGTCCACTGGAGATCACTAGTGTTGAGTAGTCCATTGAACACACATCGGAAGGTCTTGGCAATTAACTCTCTGGATCTCTCGTATTCCATCGCGCCAGTTGCAGTTGTTGCAAACGGTCAATGTCTGTTCCAACTTCAGTTCCAATGTGTAGCAATCTCCAAATGCAAGAGGTGGATTCCCTTGAAACATGGATTGGACACCATTCCGAAATCCTATCGATCTATTGAGAAATCTAATGAAATCTATTTGAGAAATGGCATTATCTTGGAAGTCTCTCTTCTTGTCGCGGGATTTGTGATTTTCCTTTCCTGGCTCTTGGATGACAGCTTTCAGCTTTAAGGCATCTACAGTCACTGCTTCATTTGCAACCAACGCACCTGCTGAGAGGTCGACTCAAAACAACCACTGCGATCGCTCCAGATCGCTCGTTTGTTGAAAGAAATACGATCGCACCGCACCTGGTTTGTCAAAAAACGGAGACCTCCCAAACACCCTCTGGGTTCGGTTCGGTACCCGTCTACCCGTCGTCGAGTCAGGGCCGGACTCCCTACGTACTAACACACCCACCTGGTGCAAGGCGCACGGGCAACCACTCTGCCAGAAATCGCATTTTGCACCAAGTCTGGTGCAGAAACGTGACGCCGCGCGACGAAAGAAAGGACGTGTCGGCGCGATGGCGGAACATTACGTGTTCTGCTGAGTCACTTGAAGTAGTCCGACTTGGGATACTCTTGCATCCTTGGAGAACATTCCCTCTTGAACTGCAAAGAAGAATGGCTTGGTGGAGATCCTATTCGACGCCATTGGGAATGCGCAGCTAGAACCCTGCAGCTTGAAACTTTGGGGTGTCAATGATTCAACGTGAGTTGTCTGAAAGTTTCTTCACTTCAGAAGCGAATCACTCACAAACGAAGTTTTTCCAAACAATGTTTGTTTGTTTGTTCACTCACAGACGAAGCAAATCTTCGCAAACTAACTACTGCTTCCCAATGCTTCCCATGTTATGTTGAAGAGTAAATTGTGTTTTACAAAAAAAGACGCCCTCAACAATGGCACCTCATCCGTTGGAACACTCAAGAAAAAGGTTTACGTGCTTCACCCCAAAGAAAACGAGGAGCAAACGTAGGTGCTTGATTGTACTTCGTCCATCCTAAGACACTCTCGGCAGCACCCGTCTGGTACCCGCTGATCAAAACCAAAATTACAAGAGTCAATCCCCAGTAAAACGTGTCTTGGAGGCACCTGGTAAACCATGGAATGGCATGTGCTAAACACAATGATTTTTGGATCCTCAAATGCTTTTTAAACTATAAATAACTGTAACCATCTACGTGTTGCACCCCTCGATGTAACAATGTACGTCCGACTCCCTCAGTTTCCCGTCGGGAACAAAAGTAACTTGGTTTCCACCTGCTCGTTTGGGGGTGTCCCAATCCCCCCAATCCGGTTTTGCAGATGATCCAAATGCATGTAGATAGCCTGGATGCCCGATTGGCATTCCATCGCATCCTGGTAACACAGCTCTGGTAGAGAAAAGTGGATTCTGTTGGATATATATGTTTGGGGTCTGATGACTAAATAACTTGATTAAGAAAGCAACTAGGTGATCTCAAAAAGAAGCGTGTCCTCTTGCTTGCAGTATCTTTTTTGTATTGAAATCAGTTTCTCTTTGGCAACATCTCCAGAGCTCTTCTGCCAAAGGAAAATCAAACAAGAGTGCCACACCCATGCGTTGCCAGGCATCAACGCATCATGTGCGAACTTCTGGAAGGTTAAGCCAACTGCACCTAAAAGGAAGAGACATGACCTGGCCTTGGAGAATTGGATTTATGATGGTTTATGAACATCCCTCGAGGATTTGAAGATGGATATGTTTATACCTTAAACTGCTTGCTCGTGCAAGTTGCAGTTCAAGTAAGGTTAGGGACTATCTGATATCAAACGTCTTGGAGTCTAAGACTAACCTGACTGACTGGAGAACACGCTAGTGTTCGTGTAGCGTATATTTTGGCGAAGTGTCCGCACTGCAACTCCGCGGACGCAACGTAGTCCGTTGATGCCCCCTTTCAAGGCGCTTCTCTGCGCTTCTGGCTTCAGCCAAGCATATGGACCCAACTCATGTGCAAGACTGAGCACTGCTCGGGGGGAAAGCAACAAATCAAAGGAAAACCACCACATGCCGGCAGTCTCTCTACTTGCTGACAGGTGGCAAAGAAGGGAAAAGTAGCCTGGCACCACCCAGTGGCTCCGTGAGAAAAGGACACGAAGGCAGGTGCGGAGTGGGGACGTGTGTGGTGACTCTGATTGGAATCAGTGAGGTGAGGTACTTTATTGATTCTAGTCGGAAAACACCGACACCACCGGCAAATTTGAACATCGTTCGCTGCAGCGGCTCCGCCCGTCCTCGGCCTCTGCCCGTCCTCGGCCGCTGCCCTCCCCTCCTCGCTGGTCTCCCGCCCCGTCTTCGGCCCGAAGATCTCCGGAGGACCGCGTGCGACAATCCGACTGCGGACCGCCGCAGATCGCCGGAGGACCCAAGCGCGAAAGCACGCCTGCTTCGGAACCATCACAGTGCACCTGCCCATGGAGCTCGGCCCGTCGTGTCTTGTGGATCTTGTGGGTTCCGATCGTATGAAGATGCTGAAGTTGGTGCCTTCGAATGGAAAAACACGGAGGATTTTGGGCCATCGGCCTAGCGACATGTGCTTCTTTGGATGCATATGATGGCTCATGATCTTGCAAATCAGTGCGTGGAAGCCGAGTCTGGAGGGGATATAGTGGGTCTCAAATGCATGCAGCTTGTGGATGCTCCATGGCATTCCCTTGCATCCTGCATGGTGACACACCCCTGGCAGAGAAGAGCAATGAAGAGTGAATCTTCTTGGGCTGAATCGCCTCGTGATTGCGACGAAAAAAGGCTTCACCTACCTTTCCCTTGCACAAAATCCAAGTGGTTCTTGTGCAATGCTTTTGGGCTGGCCACCTTCTTGGGCTGGCCTTGTGTGTCTGCTTTCAACAGCCGTCCCAGTTGCCCAGTCCCCGCCTTCCCCTGTCTTCCGATGCCCTGTCCACACTGCCTCGGTCTGGGTGACCGATGGCGCACGGGTGGCTGTCTCCGAGTACACCGACCACGAATCTGAGATTCCGAGATATGGACCGCTGAAATGCTTTCAATCCTATGAGTTGGTTCAGAGGTGCACAATTCTGACACAACCCATCCTCATGAAGCCTCTAGAATACGGATGTCACGCAGTCCCCTACTCGGATCCCATCCTGTGCCCCGAAACCCCCCTCAAATGGCCCCATGGTACCATCCGAAGCTCCGGGATAGAGTCACGCCTGCGTGCAGAATCCACCGCGAGCCCAAGACGGACTTGGACAGCCAATCATTCTTGGACTGGACTTTGGAAACCTCCATGCCCATACACGACTAATGACTAATGGGACTGCCATATATTATATGCCTACATTGGGGTGGTGCCAGGGCAGCCAATGTAGGGGTAATCCCTAGGGCTCCAACCACCTCCTGAGAAGATGGTTGGGCTAACCACCTCCTGAGGAGATGGTTGGAGCCCTATAGGGAATATGCGGCGGTCAAGACATCTGATATTTGGATGGTATGTCATCAAGATCTGCGGAAGCGCAATAATTTGCGCGAGCCAGTGTTTGGCATACACTGAGGTAGGCAATTGACATAACTCTTTCATCTCATGACTACAAAGGTTTTGACCCTTCATCTGGAACAGCTCAGGTCCCTAATATGCTCACAAGGACCACAAAACTCTGCTGTCTGTAGCGAGTGATAGGTGGTGCGAAGTATTGCACCCTTTGAGAAGGAGGAGAGCAATTATGACTGCACCTGGTGGGCTACTTCGTAGGAATTCCCATTGTGGATGAGAACATCCACAAGTCGTACAACTCGTTTGGGGCTGCTTGCCTGCCTTGCCTACCCCTTTTTCATCATCCTGTAAAAGTGGACACACCTCTTTGAACTCCATCGTACGAATGCCGGTTCTACCGATGGTCCTATACACTGTATTGGATGGTCAAAACCTGGAGCTCCAACACCATGTGGCTTGACCTTCCAGGTAGGTCAACTGGTCGGTATCACGGTTAGGACCCACAGCCATCTCCAACCAAAACTTGCGCCATCCCGGGAAGCAATCCCGAGGCAGTTTGACCTCAACGCAGAAACATGTTGCTTGCCGCTCATCTGCTCTCAGCATGTGCTTAACAGTAAGCTTGCACAACAGCGATTCGATGCAATTATCTTAGAATAAGGCCACCGCCCGAAGGGTTCTAGGCTCGAGCAAGTCATTTTGAAAACCTCAAAATCAGGTCATGTAGGAGAAGTCTGCTCCTAAGCTAAAGCTTATCAAACTCAAGGGTGCCTAGCAACCTGTCGTGATTTGGATTCCCTGTTCCAATACAAACCAATGAGAAAGTCAAGGAGTGAAGTGAAATATTGCACCTCTCCTCTTACATGATCTTAGCTCGTCGCCTGGTTTCGCCAAGCCCAGCCGCTCAAATCCCACCCTTTCCGCCCAGGGCACCACTCGGGGCTTTGATGATGGAAGTGGCACATCGTGCTGTTCGCCACCTAGGACATCCCGGGTTCGGGCGAACAGCGGTGCACATGGAACGACTGACGTTCGGGTGAACCAGGCAACAAAGCCCTCGACCCAAGTGTGGGCGTAGCGTGGAGGACGATGGAGGACGATGTCATGTGTGGCAGTTCCTTGCGGGCGGTTGCATCACCAAAACATGTACCAGGACCATCCTGTCTGGGTGTTCAATGGACTACCTTACACTACTTAGGGAACTCCATTGGACACCCATTCGATGGTCCAGGTAGAAGTGATTAGAGTTTGGTTCAATGTGGTGCGGTCAGACGTGTTGTGAAATACTCCTGGGGAAAAATACTCCTGGGGAAAGTTCCTCAAGCAACCACCCTCATCCCGCTGCACCACCACCTAAACGAAACCTCGACTCTTATCTCTATCCGCGTAACCCGCAGAACTTTCAGGGCGTCTCTTTTACTCAATGCACATCAATGCACCCTTCCAGAACCTTTTTTTATCTTTCTTACCTCTCCGCGGCCACCAACAGCCTTTTATAAATACCAGCCGGGCCTTCAGTTTTCCATCGCGCAAATCGGTCACCAGCCATCCCATCGTCTGGGCCATCCCACCCGTCCGTCCCGTCTAGATTGGGTGGGGTGGCCCAGTGGGTCCCAGGCACGGTCAGCCTCTCCTCGTAGTGGGCGAAGTCCACGAGATCTCCTTTGAGAAGATCCTTCACCTCCACGTCCGATCCACGGTGGGACGGCAGGTGAGGAGTGTCCGATGGTTGGGGGGTGAGGCCGAGCCACGCACTGAATGGAACTACAAGGAACATCAAGGAGGATCCCGACATGCTCCGTTGCCAACTGGATAGGAGAAACATTATGTATTTATATGTGTCGTTTAAATGTATTTAAACAAATTTAGAATAGAAAGTCACTCTCTTCCATTGAGCCCGCCCCCAATATAGTGGTAAGCTGGTCCGTATGTTGCTTCGAAATTTGTTCTCGGATGTTCTCTCCCCTTTTTCCACACGGCCTACCTCTTCCATGTGCCTTGTGGCGGAGCTTCTCTCGGAGGAAGTGCTGCGCGACCAAGGCCACCTGGAGATGGCCCTCGCCTCGCGTCGAAGACGACGGGAGGGTCTCCCGCCGGGACCCGGGACCCAGGACCCAGGAACGACCCGTCGTTTGACCCATCCGGTGAAACGTTTGACCCATGTAAAAACCCTAAAACTCATCCGGTTGTGACTGGGTCCTTTCTTTTTGCAACTGGGTCTAAAACCATAGTTCAGGATTCAGGCTCTTGAAGCATTATTGAATGCATGATGGTCAGGAAACCTGGGGAAAAGGTGAAGCGTTAATTGTTTCGGAGCGGCTGGTGCCCCACGTTGTGCTTCCGAGAAAAATAAAGGTGACAGTGACAGGGGAAACGAGGCTAACGAGGGAAGGAGGGAGGCGGCCAGTGTTTTGAGGAGGTTTGCGGGGGATGATGTTGTGGAGGGAACAAACATGATGGCTTTATTCAATAGCAAACGGGAAAACCTTTCTTGGCCCAGGTCAACGTGTCCTCTTTCCTTTGGTTTGGGCAGAGTCTGCCTTTTCGAAAACACCACTTCTGAAATGGACCTCCTCGGGATCGGAACCTTGACAGAACAAAACGGCTGGTATTGAGCTCACAAAAGACCTTATATATTATATATAATATATTTAATTAGCTTGACGAATAGGAACACATCCCCTCACTCGCCCAGCTCTCAGGCCTGACCACGCGAGTGTCTGGTGCACCAGAATGAAGGTGCCAATGGCAAGGGCACGCCATGGCATGCTGAAGCTACGGAAAAATTGCGCCCAAAACAAATCTCTACCATCTGGCTAAATCACAAACCCACAGGTTTTCCACAGGAAAATGAAGCTCCACATGTGGGTGCGGTCACGGATGTGTTTCAACCCACCAACAGGGACCGAAGTCACCAGCTTCCAGAATTGGAGATTCCGCGGCAGAGGTTAGGGCTTTGCTGCTCCACTGGCACCGTTTGGCCGTTGGAGTTTCCAGCGGATTCCAAGTGAAACGCTCCAAAACGTCAGACCTAAATCACCAATAGTGAATCTCTTCTCTGAAAAGGAATGATGTACTATTACTATATTACATGCTCCATTATGCTCCTACACCAAAGAATTCATATCAATTCATGCTGTTGACTCATGCTGTGTACTTCGTTGGAGTTTCAGGATGCTGTCCAGCTGCAGAGCTTGGCACTAGTAGGCTGTTCCTGGGTCCTTTCGTACTGACCTGCATTGACTGAGGCCTCCTCTCCCCCATGATAGGCCCGCGAACCACGCCACGGGAAGGAGCTGCGGCGAGAAGCCGGCGTTCATCCAACGAAGTTGCCCAACACTAAAGAACCTCAAGCTGTGGTTTCCCACCACAAGTTGTCCAACTGCTTGGTGTTCTGTGTTAAGTACAGTTGCCCATCCCAGAAGTTGCCCAGTCATAAGTTGCCCGGTACCTTGGTGAACAAGGTTACCATGGCTCCATCACTCCATGACCCTGAGATTCTCGATTTTCTCTGGTGTCTTTTGTGCACGTATTGCAACTCTCTACCATTCAGAAAACAGAGCCATGTTGGATGTCGGATCATGGTGCGGATCAGCCTCTCACCTCAAGTTCACTGGACAGATTTTGAAGTATATATTCGATTTAATGTATTCCAATTGGCACTTGGAGGGGCCACGTCATCTACTCGAGTTCAATATGCGTGCATTGCAAAAAAGGGAGATCCCGCCCCAGTAGGTTGGGCCTATGTTCCTTCTTCCAGGGGGTCTTTGTTTTCGGTCTCCCTATTTCAATGCACACCATAGTCAGCCAATTTATGCTGCTCTCATTCCGCAGAAGATCGCAGAAGTGTACACTCCGAGTCACGTTCCATGGAAGTGGACAACCACCTGTTTGTAGAGGAAAATTGTCAAGGGGCCATACCATCCACTTCCAAAAAAAATCAAGCAGTGTATCCGGCTCACATATGGATGGGTCTTAACCATGCAAGTTCCGTAACACCGCCCCAAACTCCACCCCAAAGAGGTTCACATCAATCTGGAACAAACTATGTGTGGCGTTTATTTAAAACAATCGGACCCTCTAAAAATCCACAGTAAGTAAAGTTATTTTTATCTTTGGCATCTAAATGCAAACACCAACCAGCCAAAGAACCAGACCATGTTTTTGTTTGTCTCTTAACAATGCACTTTTTGTTTGAACACTTGTGTATAGCCTGTGTGTACTTCCACATGAGACTACCGCCCAGCTTGGCGCTGAGCTGAGCTCCTTCGGAGTCATTCCAGTCAGCCCGACCCATGTCAATAGATTCCAAGTGCTGCTACACCCCGCACTTCATTACTAGCAATCACTGGTTGGTGGCTTCAACTCACCAACGAAGATATGAGTCTGTGGGATCAATCATCCCAAGTAAAGGTTAACCATAAACATATTTGTGACCACCCAGAATAATGTTGGCTTTTGATGCATCTGAATACTACACCCCATGTGCCTTTTGGGACATCTCGAAGTGGAGAAAAAACTGCTGTATACCAGCTGTTTCCAAAAGGCCACAGGTCTCCTTTGGGCGGCAGCGCCAAGAACCGTCTTCCCACCTGCATCCACTTGAACCACTGCCAACATGACATGGTCTAAGCCACCCCTATCGTTTTCTGCAAAAACATCTGGGAGACGTGTCTTCCTCATTTGTTTGAAGCCTTCACCGACAAAAAATCACTGAAGTGCAGCAAGGGCAAGTGCTTTCATCGCAGGCGTTGATCCCCCCGACCGGCTCCAATTCCCAGACCATCCGTGGGACTGGAATATGTACCTACATTGACGCTTAAAACACCTGAAATCACACCAATGTGGGCAAATTTTCCAGTCCCATGGATTGTTTGGGTTTGAGAAGCATGCAATGTTTTCCAGCGCAAGATCACGGTCGTGCTCCCACGCAAGATCACGTGCACCTTGGATTCAGTGGGAATTCCAGAAAAGCCGAGGATCATGAATGAGATATCATGAACCCTGATTTACGCCAAATTATCATCAGTACATCATAGTACATCGTGGTAACCACTGCGATCCAGCACTCGCAGTTGAGGCCCGGTGGTGCCAAGTGCCATCTGCAATCCAGCGCTTGCGGTTGAGGTCCGGTGGTGCCCACTAGGATCTAGCACCGGCGGTCTAGGACCGGAGAAGGAGGCGGACGAGCGGGAAAGCACAGCTCGAAACTCTAACAACCCTCGCCTAGGTGGGGAACTTCGAATACTCATTGGTAAGTCATGAAAGTGGATGGCACCACCACCTGATTGGTATTCAGATTTCATGGTCGTTCGAACTTCGGGGCCATGCTATCCACTTGTTCCACCCTCAAGAGAGTATTGCATGTCCTGCTCGAATCCACATCGTCTTGACTTGAACACCCATCCATCCATATCGCTTGGGGCTCGCCAAGCCCTTCAGCTCTTCACGGTGACTGCGTACTTGTTTTTGCCTTGCCTTGGCACGGATCCTCCAAAACCATTACAGTGGTTTCAGAGTAAATGGCACATTCCCCAAAAGGTGGTTTATATTAGTTATATGGATTCCCATCTGAAAAACATCTTGGAGTTTGTGCCATCTACTCTGAAACCGCAGTGAAACACATTCCCAAACAAACATTAGCCTCCTGCAAATGAACATGGACCCCCATAACCCGTGGTTGTAGATGAAAATCGTCTTCCTCCTGCAGAGATGTAACATCCACTACATCAACCTTCAACTCGCCGGTGCCGTCTCTTGTGCCCCGACGAAGAAAAACCGCTCCAAGGTGCTGCACATGACAGAACGCAGTCCGTCGTCATCGACGTAGCGAGTCCGTCGCATGGGCGCCTGGTCGGTGAAAGCCGAGCTCACAAAGGCTTGATGGGTATTGTGCCCAAACAATCCACGGGACGACGGGAGGCGGAATATTTAGTCAAAATGTAGTCAATGGAGCAGCAACAAAAATGTCAGTCCCATGGATGGTCTGGGGTGGGTCCCATGAACCTAGAAACATCCTTGCCAAGAACAACGTCGACTCCACACAGGGTATAGATTTCATCAGGGTCCAGGATGGTCCAGGTCCGTTTGACCGGCGAAACGAAGGTAATGACGCACGTTCTGCGTGGTTGGAAGATCCAGGATATAGTAAATCAATACCCAAACACTCCATGTATGCCATATATGCCTACATTGACCCCCCAAACCACCCCAACTGATCGGCATATATGGCACACATGGAGAGTCTGGGATATGTGTCTCATTCGTGTCCCGGGTGAACCTTGCATTTCAGTGGTCAGAACCGAAAGTGTGGGCCGAATCGGATTCGATCGGAGGACAATTGAGCATGTATGAATTGGTTGCAGGATAATCTACTGGAAACCATCCAATGGTTGTCCAATGGAGATCCCTAAGTAGTGTTGGGTAGTCCACCCAGACAGGATGGTTTTGGTACCAGACACCATGGTCACCTTTTCAGATCGATCCCCGTGAAGTCTCTAACCACGCTGCGAGCGGGGAGAATTCGCAGCGTGCTATGTGCTTCGTGCGCGACGTGAGAGGCAGACCCTTTCAGGCCATATGGCAAAGCAGGAAGGTGCCAGAGGCGAAACGATCTAACCATCCTGGAGAATCCTGGAATACACTGTACAAGATGGAAGTCGGCGTTCCAAATTGACGAACCTTTGGTATTGAGTATCATGCATGACTAACTGGGTTTTGCAAGAAAGTCTCAGTCACCGGTCGGCATCTTCGCAGTCCACGACTGACCGCCCACGTTCCGCGACTGCCGGTCGCACCGGCCGCTTTGCGGCAGATGGTCCATCGGCCAACAAGTAGATCCGGCGATGGGCAATGAGGAACTGCCCACGGAAAGAAAATCGGGGAATGCGCTGCAAAATGGTCCATGCAATGGTGATGTTTTGTCCACTCAAAAACCTCACGTGGGAAGGATTTGCACGCAATATAATTACTCCCTAGGGCTCCAACTACCTCCTGAGAAGATGGTTGGGGTGGATGCCAGGGGGGTCTAACCACCATCTGAGGAGATGGGACAGGAGCCCTAGGGAATGTTCCAAACAACATTGGAAGAAACATGCTGGGCCTCTGGATGACTGTGAGCTTGTCCATCTTGCATTGATGTCATTGAAAGCAATGAGCAAACGATGCATGCCATACACATATATACCTAGACCCCGCAAAAAAACGTATTTTTTTCTGGTGAGGGCAATTTTCAGGCGAAGGTAAAACAAGCCCACACAACAAACAGTTTTGGTGTCGATTTTTTCTGCGTTGTTTTTTGTCACTTCTGCGTCATTTTGGTGTCATGTTTTCTATCGCGAATTTGCTGCATGTTTCTGCGTCATGTTTTCTGGCGAGACGGGAAAAAAGACATCGTTTCAGGGTGCAGGTATAGGTTAAGCATCGACATCTGCTCATGGCGGACCACCAGTCATACTATACAGGAGTCTGAGCTTCCATTTGTCAAGTCAAACGGATGGTCTAGTCTGAGCTTCCATTTGTCACCCCAAACGGATGGTCTATAGGCCAATAATAGGTTTATAGTAAACTGACAATGAATCAGAACAGGCAAAGGACCATCAGGGACACTAAATGGTTCCCTACAGGTCCAAAGACCCTCTATGATATATAAGACATTGCCCTTTACATGATGGATCAAGTATGGTGTGTTGATGTGTTTCTGTATGACCGACGCTAAGGACCAGGTCAGTTCCTGACCTTTCCGGGGTTTGACTGTAGTTTTCTTCTTTTGCCTTTCTACACGAAGTGAAACGTGACTAACAAAGCAAAAGAAGCTTCTATTTCGCTGAGATTCACGAACGCTTAGTCATGTGAATCACTAGCTCGCTTAGTTTCTTCAGTGACCAGCTTCCATTCCGCCACGCCTTCCGCTGCTAGTTCCGGCCCGGCACGAGGGGGGAGCGATCGGAATTGATCTCGCAGTTGTGATCTCGGGGAGTGCAGTCGACCATTCTCGAAGTGGTCTGGGTGATCAAACGCAGTGGTCCCAAACTGAGTTCCACAGCAGTCCTATGGCAGTCCCATGGAGCGTCTGGGGCGGCATATATAGACTCCGTGTATTAAACCCTCCCCATTTGGATTGAACAAGTCTCTTGATGTGGAGGGGCTTAGAGTCTACATGACTTTGGTCCCCCAACAAACGTCGAACTATATGTCGAACTGGACTTCGAACGGGATCGTTCACCCAACGCTCGACGACTCGACAAGGGTCCCATCGGTAGCCTCCAAAAACACCATGTCCTAGGACACCCAAACACAACCTGTCACTGCCAGGACGGACTGCCGCCCTCACTTCATCCCCCCAGTCAACCACCCCTGGCCGTTTCGCAGTCCGACATGGCCGTGTTCGTGTCGACACCGAGACACCGAATCGGTCGACGGTCGACCCGATCCGCATGCGGTTCGGGTTGACCGTCGACCACCGTATCGACCAACGTGGTGGAAGAAAACATGTTCCTTTTGACTGAAGTCTTGGAATCCCTAGGCCTCCAGTCGTACCGAACCTGAGAAGGTGGGACTGGGGTGCGTGCCAGGAGGGTCCAGTCATACCGAACCTGAGGAGGTACTTGGAGGTGTAGGGAATATCCTTGAATGTGGCAAATCAGTAGCAACTTTGGAAGTTGAACTGTCCTTGAATGCGCGGCGGCCAACTATATCTACCTGATAGCAGCAACTTCTGAGCAAGAGATCAATCAAAATCCCTCCTGACCCTCGGGAAAACAATCAAGAAAGCTTCGCGCGCTGCGAAGCAACAACCAGCGCCACGCTTCAACCAGCGCCACTCACTTCTTCTTGCGAGCATTACATGGGCCTCGACCTGGCGTCGGGTGTTGGGCATCGAAATGAAGAGCACCGCACCGCAGTATATCGCAGAATAAAGGGTGATATAGAGCCATTGATAACCACCAAACCAATTGCAAAACCAAGAACGCCTTGCCTAAAGGCATAGCATAACTAACCATATTGATGACCACCTCTTGTGCGATCGGCCCGGCTTAAAGAAAAACCAGCACGTCACCTCATGACAGTTCACACACGAAAGTATTAACACTAAGGTTCCAACGTGCCAACGAGATAGGGAGACCTCTCAAGCAACGACCCCCCATGGAAGGTTCGGCACATAGACCAAAACCATCCAAAACCCATTGGTTGGGGATCACCCTATTAACAGTCACCCCCACTGTGTGTGTGTGTGTGCGTGTTTCGTTAAAAGAAACTGTTGTCTCCACGTATACATGGCAGGATCTATGCGGCAACAGCTAAGATGTCCGTCGGTCAAGTTATACGGAGCGGTTCAAAACAGCTGTCTGGCCCACCACCAATATACATGTGCTTGTTACAAAATGACTGTTCAAAAGTGTGGTGGTAAAAAATGATCATACCTGGAACTTCGTTACGGCAATAATAATTGCCGTTTTCATGAAACGTCGCCTTTTTCCGTTCTGCGGCGTTCTTCCATATTGATCTCATGCGAACGGCGTTTCTTGATGAACTGCGGCAGTTTCGGTCAGTTGACGGCAATTTTGGTCCGCACATCCATGCGCCTCAAAGAGTCATTTCGTTTTAGTTTTAGTGCAGGCGAGTATGAAAACATTGTAGGGTCTTGCTTGAAAGGCAACTGAACGTAAAAGGCGTTTTATTATATCAGCAAACTCGCATAGTCATGTGAAGTGGAAAGGGCAGCTGATGGAAGTGTCACATGCTGGGTTTTCGTCGGTTTTCGCGGGTAACTCGACCTCTTGCGCCGCGTTGCAGAAGATTTTTCGTTTAAAGTTACGGCGTTCTTACCCGTACTTGCGGCGTTTTTCCCCGTACTTACGGCGTTTTTCCCCGTACTTACGGCGTTTTCCCCCTACTTACGGCGTCGTTCCCTTACCCTGTCTAGGGTCACTCAAGGTGGCAGCAAGACTTGTCACAACATGTCACAAGCGATCCTTTCAGCCATTGCATGATCAAAATGTGAACAAATCCTGCCGTGATGTCCATCGAGACCTTAGACAAGGGCTGCAACATCTTGAGAAGTGCTACCATGAGGCTTGAAAACGATGAGCTCTACTTACAAGTGAAAAAGGAGAAGGCAATTTCAGGGTATGGACGGACCAAAACAATATCCTCTTTGGTAGATCAAACAAAACGGCGATTCTTCTTTTGTGACGGCGTTTTCACTTCTCTGACGGCGTTTTCACTTTCCAGGGATTGAGCTACGGCAGAAAAAATGAGTTGCGGCAAAAATTATTGCCTCAACAGCCTACGGCAAAAATTATTGCCTCGGGAGGGTCTAGGTATATGATCATCCCACCAATACAGTATGGACATGGACAAAAAGCGATGGTTCCAGTTGTGCGATGGTTCCCACCTCACACATTTGTGATGTGCCAGTCCACTTTGGCTTCCTCGCAATAGCCCCAGGTCTTCCTCGGGTGTCTCACACAGTCGCGATGTCCCAAGTAGCGGATTTTAACCATCCAACGTCAGGGTGTGAACTCGTCATGTCATGTTTCACATGTTTCACTTGCTTTGGACTGCAGGACCAGGGTGAAACACCGAATGAGTCTAGTCTGATGCAAAGTGACCGGTGAACAGAAAGGGACAAACAAAGTACCCCCGAACAAGGCCATGTCTTGGCGCCAACCCGGGTGGCAAGGACAAATTGCCACTTCCCAACAAAACTCTGAGAAGTCCGGTGAGACGGTGAGATTCTTAGATGGAACATCACATTCCCTGCATGTTTCACCTTCTCAGGACTTCAAACAGCATGTCCGACGGGTCCGTTTTGTTTTTTTTTCAGGCATGTGAATGGGCATGACTGCTGAGCCAGCTGTCCTGGTGGGAAAAAATGCTTCCATCACATCGACCAATTGTCAATCCAGTGCTCTACACTCCCAAAAACTCTCATGGAACCTGAGAGAACATGGAGACTGGAAGACCATGTTCCGAATACCAACCAGCCGTGGTTTTCAGGTTCCGAATCTCAAGCACCGGGTGTAGACCGTGTTTTTTTCGTTCGTACCGAATCCCCTCCTCCAAGCGTCCCTTCGCATTCCTCCGGATCCACCACGAAACACCATGCTTTCGTCTTTCCATCCGGATTTCCGCAGGTGCCTACTATGCACTGAGCGCACAACGGGCGGCAAAAGGACACGGTGGCAACGATGCCGCAACTGGACAGGTCTACTGCCGCAACTGGACAGAGAAATTGGTTGATGAAGCTGCTTGATGGGCCCCGGAATATATCTAACGTAGATATATTGAGGTCACAATTGGCTTGAACAAACCCAAAACTGACTTTCTAACTACAGCTACTAGTGGTTGGTCATTTGCCTGACTGTTGAAGAGAACATACTATAATTACTCTTCTCGCACCGTGTCTGAGGTGTGTGTAGATTTTTTAGCCATAGGATCTTGGGAGACTATAGTTGACACTTGTCACCACAATCGAAACCTCTACCCCTCTACCCCTCCCTGCATGGAACTTGCTATATTTTATCTTATACCTACATTGACTCCTCAAACCAACCCAATGTAGCTTGATATATCATACACCAGGACCACACGAAGGATGTGTTGTTTTCTTTTTTTGCCACCCGTGAACACATGTATTTATTCCCCCGAGACCCAACAGGTGCAGGATGAACTGCAGGAGAGTTACGAGCCGGTCCCCCTGGCAGAAAACCACTCCATACACCAAATGCAAGAGTCTTCTTCGTCATGATGCAACGAAACACCTGACCAATATGCCTCCAACCTCGTCCTCTTCCCAAACATCTTTTGGGCTAGAGATGTCCTCCATGTTCCTCTTTTTCACAGGGTCCTCACATGTCCTGACCCTCCCCAAACACTCCATTGCAATGGAGTAAGCTACAAACTCATTACATTGACCCCATGTATGACCCATCCATGTCAGTATATACCAGCAGTCACAAAGGGATGGTTTTTAGTCCCATCCAGTAGCTGGGCACCCCTACCCTCCAATAGGCACCCCTTTGTGACTATTCCAGTAGGTGACTATTCCAGTTCCATAGATGGTGACCCTCAAACCCTCCACCTTCGGCTCCCCTCGCCTAAGACCTCCTGGCCGTGGTAATTCCACCGCTTCCGCCGCAGGCAGCGGCAGCCCTCGTCGGTGAGCCCCGTGTAGGGCGCGCACGGCGCCACGCGTAGACCGCCCAAGAGGCTGGAGCGGTGGCAGCTGTCGGGGACTCGACCTGAATGATGACGCCGCGAGGGGCGCGAGGCGCACGTCGTGGCGATGCCGTTCCGGCGCCCCTTCCAGGGGTCAGGTCGAGTCGTTGACGAGCCGGGTGTTCCACCGAGCGTGTGTGAGGAGATGGTCCGTCCTTCCGCTGCAAAGCGAAGAGACTGCGGGGTATAGCTATGGGTCGGATCTGCAAGCAAATCCAGCGGGTGAGAAGGGACATCATCGTGAACCTCGATAATAAGTCCTTCCAAATGTTCTAGAGTACTATACCCAGACGCTCCATGTATCCCATATAGCCCCCGAAACCACCCCAATGTAGGCATATATGGCAGTCCTATGGAGCGTACGGAATATATCTCCCTGGGGATCCAGTCGTACCGCGCCTCAGAGGGTACGACTGGACCCTCCAAGCCTCCAAACCTCAGAACAGTGTCTCCAATCACCGTACCTGAGGTTCGGTACGACTCGATCCCTAGGGTCTGGATATGTCTAGATGCCCTCTTGAGACCTCTTGCAGCAACCTTAAGCAGCTTTTGTTGCAACAAACCCAAGGCCCAAGAAGCCTACCACCTCTATCTCCTTCCATGCAAACCAGGGGACACATGGCGAAGTGGTTGAGATAGCCAGGATTTCCGCAGGTCGTGAGGCTCGTGTGATTGAAGACGCTCCAGGGACCAGTCTTGCAGCTGCACCCGCCGGCAGAAAACGTCTTGCACAGATCACATTCCTCGTCCGGGGACCGTCGGGACTCGGCAAAGGGGATGAAACCGGAAGTTGAGGTCAATGAAACCTGCAGAGGGATCCCAAGCGGTTCTTGATTGTCTAAATCCCACCAGAATGGGACATGCCATAAGAAACGGTACAAAAACGAGAAACACATATAGGCCTTTGTCATTTCGGGGTGTCTATCCATGGTCCCCTTAGAGCTTAAGGGGTGGCTGTTCACCACCTCGAAAACGCGAACCTGGTACAATCGGAACATGGCGCCAAAGTGGATGACTGGCCATGAACTGTAGTAAACGTGGTTTGCTTTTTTGCTAGAGCACATACGGAAAAGACTGACATGTTCTGCAGTCATAGTCGGTGTGTCACTGGCCATGGTAAAGCCAAACCTCCTTCCTCTGCAGGAGTGATGCTTCTTTGATTATCGTTTTCCGTAGATGTCCCACACACTGCTGAATTTGGCGTCCTCACGATTATATACTCCATCCAAAGTGAAAAACATCACAGGCAACATGTCATGTTCCCTTACTAGCAGTCGACCTGGGGCAGTGGTCGAGGGCCACCGAGTCTTTGTTTTTCTTGTATACTTTGATCGATGCATATCGATGCTAGTGCCAACAGCAGCCCGTTTGGATCCTGTTTGCTACCACGCTGGGTGAATAACGCCGATACCACAAAAGCCTCAGCCTTTGTTTAGCTATATGTTTAGCTTGCACAAAGGTCTACATCTTGGGGGTTGTTGACATTCATATCGTCGTGTCTAACTCAGCAAATTACAGACATGGACCCACCATATACAGAAGCTGTGCCACAATGATTCTGGGGTTGCTTTGTCTTTGGAACTATACAGTGCATCCACCACATCCACCACCGCTATACTGTTACCACATGTGAGCTTGGCCGCTTGGAGGCTCCGCGGGCGGTTGGAGGCGGAACCCGCCAAGTGTCCCAGGACCATTCCTGGAGCCGGAGTCCGCCACCACAGTCGCAGCAATAGTCTCCGGCGGAATACTCACCGCAGTCATCGATTTGGCCGTCAGCCTCCATTTGGACGTAGTCTTTGCATTCCTGAGCCAACCCCAAAACACGACTAATGGGACTGGGATATTTACATACAGACAGGGGCTGTTGAAAAGGGGTCAATGTATAGGTACACTCCCTGAAACAAACATGGAAGTGGACAACCCTCTGTGTGTTGAGGAAAATCGTATTCCAGGAGACGGCTATCCACTTCCATTATTGTTGGAGGGAGGGTAAATATGATTAACTATGCCATATATATATAATATATGGAGTGCTTGGGAACTCGAAACTCTTGGGTCATCGGAAGTTCGGTTCGGACAACGGATTCTCTGCGTCCGCCGATGAAGCATTTGACACCCCTTAGGGCCCCTTTTCCTTGCTTGTATCTGAGTCTCTTTCCTTTATGATGATCTATCCAGAGAATCTGATTAAGAGGGGCAGCCCAGTTTTCATTGGTGTTTCAGACACCAAAGCCATGCAGGACTGCTGCGAGCACCTTTGGATAGAAGCGCCACCAAGACCAAGATCCGCACATTGGCAGATCGTGAAATCCTGAACTAGCAACGCGGTTCGGACACTCCCAGCATAGGCGCCGCGGTTGGTTCCCCTTCTGTCAAGCAAGACTATATCGGACTGATGGATACAGACTCGCGCCATTTGGTGGGTTCCCGCCAAACCACTCTAATCTAAGCACGAGGGAGGAGCCCCATCGCCCTGATCGGTCGATTTGGACACGAATTCCAAATTATTCATCTGTGAGTTCCATATCACGAGGACCATGAATCACAAAATCCTCCTGACTTTCCCTCTCATCTTGACATCCCTGTAACACCTTGGCCTTGCGCCTCAGCTCCTCAAGGCTTTCAGACCTGGCTCCCGGCATTAGGCCATCGTGCCTCCGTCGCTTGCGCTCCTTTCGATGTGCCTCGCTGCGTTGCTTTCGCTCCTCATGGAGAATCCCAAAGGCTCGTTGGCAGTGTCGCGCCGTCTTGGCAGTCTCTTGCATGGCCGCATTGGCAGGCTCCACCCGATGGATGGAGCTGTCAATCGCATGCTGCAAGTCCTTCCAAATTCGGGAGATCTCTGTTGTGCCTACTTTCTTCTTCAAGTTTGATAGCATTGCCAATACTGCCGCAGAAGGTGACTTGCCGGTTTGGGTTCCTTGCTCGCCTTTGCTTGATTCATCCAAGGCAGCTGCCCAAGCAGCTGCGAAGATCAAAGAGGCGGGATATATCAAAAGAGCATTGCTTTGCGTGCACAAGCCAAACACGATGCTCTCAGCTCTCGCCAACAACTCCTCAGCAGCTTCAGGACTCGCTATGCTCGATAGATTCAAGACGGAGCGTGCCCCTTCCTCTGCAAGAAGACGCAAGGCATCTGCGGGTTTGGGTTCGACCAGCAGCTTAAATCCGATGGTTTCCAAGAGCTCCAATTCCAAATCGGTGATCTTCACCTTCATTGCCACATCATCACTGAAGCCGCTCTCCTCCAACAACTTGTCCAAAGTGATCTCACGGAGCTCTTCAATCTTGCAGGCCAAATGAACACTCGTGTACATCATGACACCTCACGCAATCAAATTGCTTTTCCAGGAAAAACGAAACCACATAAGTTCTCAAACCTATCTATTAGATGTCTTTCAGGGAAACCAATACACTCCAAGCCAAAAGAAAGCGGAGAATGTCCTCATGTCCAGGACAAAAACACCAAAAACCTTCAATTACACCCCCGCCCCGACCGTGTCAACCACTCGCTCAAAAAAAGAGTCTCCCTTTCGCCCCCAACGAAACATCCCCCTTCTCCCGCCGAGACCGCGCATCACACGCTTCTCTCGCGTGTGATATGTGTGTGTGTGTGTGTGTCCACACCTGTCCACACCTGTGGGACTTCATATTGATCCTAGCTCTTGCTTCGCAACCATCGAAGTGTGCTTCTTTTGGTTCTTTTTTGTTCGGCTCACACGCTTCTCTCGCGTGTGATGTGTGTTTTTTGGTTCTTTTGCGGCGAAGGCACAGGGGTCAAACTCCATGGGCGAGGCAAAGGCGTAGAAGCGCTGGAAGAAGACCAAGGCCGTCCACGCCACGTCCGTTGGTGCGGAACACAAGCGACCTACGACCGACCCGGTTCGCCGACCGCCGACCCTCGCCGACCCTCGCCGCTTCGTCACGAAAGAAGGAACACATGGGGTGTGGTGAAACAGGCCCAGACCCAACCAATGGGACTGAAGAGTTACATACCTAGATGGCTCATACATATACCTTAAGGAGTCAAAAAGACTATAAAAAGAATGGTCTGACGAACGGGGACCTGAGTTCGGGAACTTCCGAACTACTTCAGCCGGTCAACATATCGTCGAACTGGACTTCTAGGGTATATGCATGGTTGGAGGGTTCCGAAATATCCGCGGTGCTATTGCTGGAGATGTTTGGTCGAATGATTAGTGACTGATATATAGGATGTATTAGCCCCAATTTAAAGGGAAAGACCTTCAAGAGGCCGAGTTTTAAGGGTCTTTCGGACCTATAGCTATGAGTCATGGAGTAATCCAGAAAAGGTTTGTCACTTGAACGTTCCATCCTTTTGTCTCTGGGCGAATCCTCAATCCACAAACACCCATGGGCCCATGGGTGTGCATTAAACCGCCAAGATCAAACATCACTGACACTGCAGTTCTGTCTATATCATTATGGTATCTATCCCTACCTTCCAAACCCCACTTCTAGATTGAAATAAGGTCAGATTTCCGAGCCAAGAAGGCAACAAAAACTTGCTCACTGACCCGAGCTACAAAGCTCCGGCACCTTCCGTGCGTAGAAGGTCACCAGCTGCGATCCAGCTGCGATACCCAGCGGCCGAATCGCAGTCGGACCGCGGCCGCAGCGTTCACGGAGGACCTGAGCGGCCTTTTCGTAAGCAGCTTCTTGCGCATGCTCCAAGGCCTCTTTGGTCAACAGCCAAGAGAGGCTGAGGCCGTCCTCACTCATGGGGTCCCGGTCTCTTCCATGAGCAAACAGCCGGATGAATTACGAAGGCCAGATCTAATGTGGTGGAAATCTGAGCATGGTTGAGCAGTAGTTCGTAACGTTAGTAAGCCCAAAAAGACGATGCTTGTTGCAACTGGCCATGGGATCCACTTTTGTCATGTTGACAGCATTTTCAGTTGCAAGACCTCCGTCCTGAGTCATGCTGCATCAATGAGTTGACTATATCTTGGCTCTCCAACTCTTGCTCTTTCATGCTGGAGCCAGGTCGGACTGAAAAAGAACAACAGAACTTATGAGCGGTTCAGTCGACAAGTCCTTGAATGCACAGCGGATTCGAAACACATGTGACAATGGCCAAAACGTGGAACTGATCTCCGTTCTTGGCACATTGCAGTACCATGCCATACCCAACATGTCTTTCTACTATGAGCAGGCCAAGAGCGATACTGATGCAGCATCATGAAAGCAAGTTCCAACCGGAAGACTCTCGTCCGAACAAGCAGGGCTCCCTGAAACAGGCAGGCTCCCTGATTGACCCAAGACCCTCATGCTCGAAATGGTGACCACCCCAAATCCACAACAATCGCTTCGGACCTTGTACAGTATCAGAACCTTCCAAGGGGTGTCTATAAATAGCCTCAATGCCTCTGCCTGAGGTGATTCGGGGTGTCCCAAAACCACCGGACTTGGTTTCGGTCCTGGCTACAGTATAAGGGCTCTTGGTTCCAGATCTACCAGTCGCTCCACTCCCATCAGGGCCAGGGCTTAGGCCCATGAGGTCAGAACCAAAAGGAAGCCAAACCACTTGCTGAGCCTGTGAGCTGAACCGACGCTGTTTTCACGGGACCCTCAGCCAGTCTCACTGAACCATGTATCTTGTCCATACTCATCCAGCCACTTCTTCCCATCTTTCTGCAAGTCCTCAGCACGGCTCATGGCGAAGGAACAAAAGGATCCGGTAGACAGGCAATGACAATGATGTTGAGCCTGTTTGGTGACAGAGCACGTGCTGTAACAGTGCTTGTCCTTCACACGACAATGCAGGGCATAAAAGCACGACTAATGCACACTTGTGCAGTCGATAGGTGAATTCTAGAAACTGCAGGTGAACCCAGATTCCGCTCAGCATATCAACATGTAACACGCCCCAGTGGCTTGAACTCCCTGGAAACTTCGAGTGATTTGCATCCTGTGGTGAAAGTCCTACAGTACATCCTTGCCATCTATCAAGATGCAAAGGAAAAAATCCTAAAAAGTGAATCCCCGAGGATCGGCTGCCATCTGGCCATCTGTCTGCCTGGGTGCCCTGTCTGTCTGTCACACATTGATCTCTCATCCATACCAACAACACGGCAATGGGCATCTCAAGTTCCAAGTTTGGTCGAGACTTTTCGTAGGCCAAAGGCCACATTGGAGTACTACTCTCTATCCAGAAAAAATGAAAGTGGACAATGAGTGACAATGACAACTTGGAAGAACAACAGGTACCGCTTTCAAATTCTGTGTCTGTCGGAGTATAAAAACTCCAAGACACAGAACAGGGAGCATCTTCACCCACCTTGCTAAGCAAATGGCTCACCTCAGCTGGAGACAGTGGAACACATGGCAACACGTACGTAAATTATTTCAGAACTTGAATGTTTGCCTTACAATCAGAACAGCGTTTCTTCTTAAAACACACATTACAAGTATTAAGTAAACAATCTCAGAACTGGAATAGGTGGTGGATCAGATTCTCGGCCGCAGGCCAGTCACGCACGAGTCGTCAGTGATGGCCGTGCGAAGATCCGTCAGTCTGTGAACAACAATCTGACTGGTGAGAACTCGTAAGGAATAAGGGTGGCTGGATCCTGAGGTATCTGAGGCATCTAAGGTGGTGAATGTTCACGATCGAAGAATTCGCACGAGTCTTTGCCGGACAACACCACGTATCACACTCCATGGGACTGCCATAGGACTGCCGATCAGTTGGGGTGGTGTCAGGGGGGGTCAATGGGGCGGCAGTCCTGTGGCAGTCCCAGACAGGTCGTGTCTGGGATACTGACGGTGAACTTCTGTGAACCCTGGGTGTCTTTTCCCTTGTCGGGTGACCTCGCAGGCGCAGGCGACGCCAAAAGGAAGCGACCCTCGGGACACGAAGTCGACGAAGTCGCTTATACATGCCTTTTTCTGTCCATCCGATATTACCAGGGCCTCAGTGGATGAAGGTTGGGGCCTGGTTGCAGGCCTTATATAGTTCATATATTTGTGATTTTGCTTGGGAAACCTGACTGTACTGTTGCTATGCATACCCACCGGCCCAGGGCTGGTTGCGCCACTTCACCACTGACTCACTCACAGAGGTGTTGCGGACGTCCACCGCTGCCGTCTGCACGTCGGACCCATCAGAAACCGCTCCTCCCTCCCGAAACACTGCAGTGGTCGTCCGTCCTCTAAGATGAAACCTTCCAACAGCCGCTACAGTAAAGCCATTCATAACATTTGATTGAACTCAAAGGCCAAAACACATCATCGTTCGTCCCACTCTGAGATGATGACATTTCAGAATGAACCAAAAAGGCAACACACACCGTGACCCTGATGATCCGCTCTGGTGGGATCCATAGGGTCGCCACATATCGCGTTTTTGCGGGTGGTTTTGGGGTGGTGGTGGTTTTCTGTAGGTGAAAACGCCACCATTGATCCTCTGGGATGGTCACTAGTTCTGATATGTTCTGATCTGAACGCCCATCCACTTTTCAGATTCCATGCAGTATACTTGACTGAGCCTTCCCCAATTTCCCACCCTCCTTCCCAGTCCCCTAACCCACCGTGCTTGAGACAGCCATGCTCAACAAGCTCCACAAGCGCCCTTCCGCTCCCCCAGTCGCCCTTCCTCTCTGCCCATTCTCCGAAGCACACAAAGCCCATTCTCCGCACGGTAGAGGTCCGCCACCTGATCCGCGTCCATTTGCGTGAGTCCCACGCGGTTGCCCATCCTCGGTCGAGCATCGCGTCCGCGGGAGCCCCGCGGCGTCGAAGGGTCGAGGTCCGGTGAAAAGGGCGTCATTCCGACGACCCTAAGGCGACCTGTCTGGGACAGGGGTGGTGGTTGCTGCATATAGGTCAATATGCCAAGTATGCATGGTTTCAGGGGTGAATGTATGTACATCCCAGACAGGTCGTGTCTGGGGAAAAAAAATATTTATATAGACCTGTGACCTATTGATGAATGTAACTCCATCTGTCCAAAACGGATCATGTGTTGTTTCCAGTTCCGACTCACTTGTAAAGGATTGGAAGAGCCATCTTCAAGGAGCCATGTGTGGGGGTTTCCAGTAGAACCGCGGCCTGGGCGGATCGTTCAGCCCATCCCGGTGAGAAAACGTCCGGTGACCAGTCCGGTGACCCGTCCGGTTCGCGGTAATCATCCGCATTTGGGGAACAAGAGGTTGAAGGACCCTATACACTATCCGTCACTATCCTATAGGTACCCCAGTAGGGTCCTAGTGCAGGTCACTGGCTACCTCTGGGTTGTATAGACTCGAGTAAAATCATGTAATGGCGCCATATATTGGTCTTCCAAACAGGGCACCCCTTGGCAACTTGGAGGGTCCTGGTAGTAAGAAAATGCTGTTTTGGTCAACAACCATGAACAGAAAGGGTGTGGTCGGATTTGGTTTCCATGGGGTCATCTGATGCAACGTCCAGATCCTTTCTACCTCTTCACTGGGACACAGATACACTGGGTACCATCGGTACGCAGCCTGGAAGATCGGTAACCTCTCCGGATGACAAAAGATGCCTTGAACACACCGACAACAGGGTTCCGACAACAACCTGGCAGGGTCGACTGGTAGGTTTTATCCAGATCGGGTGGGGGGTTCCAAGTTGCGTTACGAAGTCTGTGAATGCCATTTCGTGTCACAGACTTCTGCCGGCCCTTGTCAGTTTGCCTTGACACCAATCAACACACACCACACCACATCGGAAAAACACTGCAACACCTGTCAAACAGTTGACACATCTGAACCCATGCGGACCCATCCCCAAACACGACCTGTCTGAAGGCCGGCCGAGAAAAGGCCAAAAGTTGGTGGTTGAAACGATGCGAATGTCATATATATGTCGAGACACCGGTAGCCGACCGACTCCAGTCGATCGAAAACCCAACGGGCGATCCTTTTCAGCTCCAGCCGATGAATGTCCCTGCGGATACGACGATCGATATGCTTGCACCTGGAAGGAAGACATGGTTGCGGCACTCATGGAAGTCAACACGGCTTTTAAACTATAAAAAGTTCGAACCAAGGCTTCTTTTGACAAGGCTTCAGACTCTTACGAATTGAATCTCTACTTATAGGTGCGAGGCACATCGGTGCCGGGGATCTTTGGTCCCTCCCAAGCGGCATCTTCTGCTGCATCACGTTCGGCGATGAAACGGCTCAAATAATTTGAAAGATCAAGCAACAGGCCTGACGCTGATCGCTGACGTGCCGTTACCCACTTTACATATGACTTGGCTCGGTCTTCGGGTGAGCATGCCAAATCATGGTAAGTCATGTTCAAACCTTTGTACTGTCCGAACTGGATGACAGTGCGACCCCATTGGTGCATGTCCATCACATCCGGAGGCAACGTTGGCAGCATACTTGAGCTCAAATCTGAACCTGGCATCGGAGGTGGAATTCCTTCGGTGGCAGCATAGGATCCTTCCATGGAACCTGAGGCCTTGAACTTGGGATGTGCTGATGGACCATATCCACGTTCCTTCTTCGGTTGCGGCGAGGCTGCTGACAACTCCTCTCGACGTTTGGAGGCGTCAGTCATCGATCCAGAGAAGGGAATCAAGCTGAAACCTGAGTCTGGGTCAGCAGCTCCGGAAGCAATATCTGGTGCATCGATTGGCAGGGATGGCATCACCTGGTCTGACCACATCAGATAGCGAAGCTGTGCTGCTTCATCGGGAGTGAGCGGCATTTCGGTATGCCTTTCAAGAAACAAATGCGGCGCGTGCTCTTGATCACAAAAGGCTAAAATAGAAACCGACTAGTGAGCAGGACAACAGCTAAGGCTGCCACCCTGTCCGAGCAGGACGACAGGTAAGGCTGCCACCCTGTCCCTGGTCTAAATGAGGAACTTCTTTCAAGACCGATCACAGCAAAACAATTTGACAACACACTCGAAACATTGTGACACGGCTGCATGCTATGACAAAACTGCTCAGCTATTTACTGATGCAAGAAAACGTATAACACAAGAGCTTCAAGACACAGTATTCCCTGTAGTCTACCGATGACTACCTTTCTTACTGCAAACTCTATGCTCTTAAACAACAACTATAGTTGCACTGAATTATCTATGACGTCGGCTTTCAAGCTTTTCCTTCGTTCGCGTTCTTCAGCTTGTTGTCTGAGAACCGTGTCCTCTGGAGAAATCTGATATGTCCCTTGACGGACACAGGATCGAAGCAAGTCAATTGGCTCTTGGCTGTCTTTGGTCAAGCCATCTGCCAACATCCACTTCGTGGGAAGCCATCGAATGCTACCTCCTGTCAACTGAAGAGATTCCCGAAGTATCACTATATCAATACATGTTCTTCGATCTTCTATTGACGTTGGTGATGAGGGGGAAATCAGGTGGTCATACAATGACTTACAATCTGTGGCCAGGATGGGTGATCGTTTCAATACAAGGACTGGTGGTCTCTTCTGCAACAGGTCTCGTGCGTCTCTTGCCTTGAAAGGGCCATCCAAGGTCTCTGAAAGGAGGAGTGACAGCCATTCCGCCGTTCCACTGGCAGTTGACATGGCTTGGCTTTCACCTCCTAAGGTGGAACTCACGGCCCTTGGCAACTTATAGCTTTTCCAAGCCACTGGCGTCCATGGAGACACCTTGCCGTCATGCAACTTCTTATGAACAAAAGCCAAAACATAACCAGCTTGTGTGTGGCTACCTACGTTGGCGAACGCTGCATCGCTATGACAGCATATTGTCAGGGACTCAGGTTCAATGGATCTAAAACGAATTTTGAGGTCCTTGAATTGTTTGGCCCTTCGAATAGTGTTGTTCGCACTTCTGAGATGTTGGATGGTCGGTTTAGGTAGGCCCTGTTGACACATGCTTGTTTGGCATGACAGGTCGGGACGGCTTTGCGATGACAACCAGTTAAGGCTACCGTTGATTGCTCGGAGGACCCTAATTTGTTGTTCATTGAGCAACTGATTGGAGGAAACACCTTTGGGGATGTGAGCTGGTCTCAAACCCTCTGCAAAACTTGCCTGTGACATCTCAATGTCAAACGTCTTTGGGCATTGATCATACATGGCACCACAAAATTCACAATTGGATATCCTCCACTTCCGGTATGGGAACCTGGCTTTCAGTTTCTCTAAGGACTTTTCAAACAGGGGCCCCTCACCTCCTACTGCGGTGTCGTCGACATGAACGCCGAGCACTCCCAGCAAGCTGTTGCTGTTGGGACAACGCAGTGTGTACAGGCATGGATCGAGGATCGATCGGGTCCAACCTGCCTGAGTTGCTTCACGATCGAAGGTGTTATGCCAAGCTCTTGGAGCATCGTTCTGTCCGTATAGGTTTCCGACTACTTCGATGACACAATCTTCTGGAACTCCAGGGATGCCTCCTGGTGGCATTTTTGCGTAAAGAGGTCTGAACTTGTCTGGGAGTTCGCCTGCTTCCAAGAATGCGCCCTTAATATCGCCTAGCTGTAGGACCCACTTATGAGAGGCAATGATCTGCATCAGAACCATCCTACCTAGCTGACTGAGGGTTGGTGATTGAAGCAACCCAGATGCAGCCTTTTCTTCTAAGTCAGGATCTAAGTGTCCCTGAAGGACCCATCGACTCTTGATTTTGAAAGTGGATGGATCACTTGGATCAACGCTGACTCCGTCTTGTGTTGCTTTTCTGATGATCACGAACCTCGATCCGATGAAACGGTCTGCGTGCTCGGCCCGGATGAGTCTAGCCTTTTTACCAAAGTGCAAGCGGATTGCTCCCTTGTCGGAAATCGTGTTCCATTCTTCTCCCTTCGACAAGTTAACTAGTTTCTGCAACTCTGGGGGATTGTTTGAAGGGGACAACTCTTTACTCAGTTTCTTCTGGATGTGTGCGGCAATGAGTGTCTCGATGCTTTCTTCGAGATGCATGTCCACTTCCTGTACAGACAAGACTTCATCGTACGCTTCGGTGCGTGGTCGAGCAGCGGACGACTCGGCCGTCGTGTTCGGTTCTGGAGACAGGGCTCTTTTCTGTCCATGTACCATGTTCTGATCTTCTTTGGTTTCTGTGGCGTCCTGAAGCAGTTGAGGGAGCACTTCTCTCATGACTTCTACGAAATCGTCCTGTCTCATTGTAGGCGGTCTGTAGAGAGCAGGAGCACCGGACTTCTGATCTACCCTCCGTCGTATTGGACCATATGAGCTTGGTGCACTAGTCAACCCTTCAGGTGACGGTGTTTCAGCAGAGACTGAGGCATGTGTCTCTTGAGTTCGTGCTGGCTCACATGTCATGGGACCTGGTACAGCAGAGGCATCGGAAGTCTCTGCTTCGGACTGCTCGTGATCAGGCGACATGTTTGGCTGCTGTGCTGATGGGGGTGTGTCTCCTTTATCCGAGTCTGATTTCACTGATTGATCTTCGGAGGGATAGTGTCCTGGAACCAAGTCAATGAACTGATGGCTTTTAAAGGTACCTCCTTCCACAAGATCTCGAATACCTAACAGCTCTGCTTGAGGGGTTGAAATCAAGACTCGTTCTTCGGTGGTCGCTGGCCTCATTTGTTCAGGCGCACACCGGAAGATGTGACGACGATGAGCTACCACATAATTTTTCCCGACCTGACCTATCACAATTGCAGTACCATACCAACGTCCACCTTGTTGAACCACACCTTGACCCATCACTTTCTGTTGTCGCCAATAGCACACGAGATCGCCTGGTTGATACGACAGCATGGCACGAGGTCGAGCAGCCAAGGCCTGTCTCAAGGCTTTGTCATCTTGCATGGCAACAACAGCCTGTCTGGCGCTTGTACGAATGGCTTGAGACTTGGCGATGGCGGAATCGTCAAGACCGGCGGTGCCTGGTACGACATGCAGCGGTTCACTCAACAAGTCACCTGGAATGTCTGGGTTCTTTCCAAACACATGTTGATGGGGAGTGTAACCATAATTTTGAATCATTTGGTTCTTTACATGAGCATGTCGAACACAAGCTTCCCATTCTTCTCGAGTGGTTGGTGTTCTAGGATTACCTTCTCAAGAACTTTGGAAAACCACCCGCCGTGAACCTCTGTCCTACCAAGCTGCCGGTGCGCTTCTGCTGGAATTGTTCGGACCACGATGCCCTGATCATCAAGGTACGATTGCATGGCTTCTCCTAGATTTGTTTGTGCACTATCCATGATGACTTCTCTAGGGATTCCTGCCCATTGGATCCAGTGACTATCGAACAGTTGTCGGAGGAGACATGAGGTTTCCCGTTCGAAGAAAGGAATCATCTGTTGGTAACAGGACCCTTGACAAACAATGTTTAGAGCTTTGACCTTCTGATTGACCTGCCAGCCTGGGAGCCATTTTACATCTATTCCTACTGACACATTGAACTCACAGGAGCGTGTCGAACTTGGGACTTGCACAGGTCGCATTCCAACGTCTTGGCCATCTCAATGGCTTTGTCGGACGCAGATCCATGTCGGAGGATGCGAACCAGATCTTTAGTGCTACAGTGGCCGAGATTCTTGTGCAGTCGATGCAGGGCTCGTTTGATGGCTTCTTCATCCTCCCCTTGGATCTCTTCACGACTCACAAGTACTTCATGAACTTCCATGGGGCAATCATGCCTAATCTGCACGAGGTGCACCTGTTGGGCAAGTTCAAAGGCCGGCACGGTCTTCAGAACAGCTTGTACGAATGCCGGTGTGTATTGTGCAACATATTGGCTAATCGATCCCACTTCAGCATGTGTTCCCGCCACCACGTCGTGACAAGTGTGATGGGGGTCTCTCTTTCCAGGACACGTGAGGCCTAGGGTTGTCATTGATTGATGACTCACAAGCAACCTGGTGGCCTTTCGGATGTATTGTTTGCTGTGGGGAAGTCTTAACCCAAACCTACACATGTGGCACTTGACATGGAAGTACTTGTTCAACAAACGTTGCATCTCTTCATATGTCCATGTCTTAGCTCCAAATGGATGTTCGAACAAGGCTTGTTTCCCGGCCTGTACTTGTTGCTCAAACAGGTCGCAACAGTAGCGAATGAACAACCGACTCAATCGACGCTTTTTACTCCATTGGATCCATGGTACAAGCATTCAGGTTGAACCAACCACCTTCGTACGTACATGGAGGGCACAGTACCAAAAGATCTGGAGGATGCTGTTTGAGGAACTGTTTGGTTTCTTCTCGGCATTGGGCTTTTGAGAAATCATACCCGGTTTTGAGATCACATGACATGGCAAAACCGCCTACTGCTTCGATGGACGGAGCGAAACGAGGAGGGCTGAAAATCTCAGCCAACATGAAACGCTTCCCCTGCACAAAGGAGCCGACTCGACTTGGTGCCTGCTTGATTTGTGCCGTCAACTGTCGGCACACTTGAACTGGCAGGCTCTCGATCGTGTTGACGTGTTCCTGAGGCATAAACACGAAGTCGGTTCGAGTTCTGCGAACGTCTTGCGGCAAAGGTTGGATATAATATCTCTTATCTTTGCTATGATCGATAGTTTGATCGCTCACTATCCTACCGGTGTCAAGATCATGGATGGTCCTGTGGATGACTGTGTGCCAAAAAGGGGCCTGTTTGCCCGTCACTGGCGTTAAGGTCAAACCTTCATCCGCACGAGACCAAACAGACGACCCTGGATGTCCTGTGTCAGCGGAGTCTTGGGCCTGTTCTTCAAGATCTAAGGCGGTCTCTGGCATGGAAGGTGCGATTGTAGGCTCATGATCACAGCAACTGTTGGCTTCCTGAGAGGCCATAACTTCCGAGAACTGCACTTCCTTGCCCTTGGTTTCCTCGGGCAAGACTCGAATCATGAACTGCCCAGCGGAATTGGTGTGGAGAGGCACCTGCACTGCATCGTCAAATATGGTCATGGTGCCTTGTCCGAAGGCCAGTGTTGCCTTGAGTTTCTGAAGAGCTGCGCGCGAGATCAGCAATGGGGCTTGTCCTTGCACGATGGCTGCACGGATGGATCCAGACTTGCCAGCGATTCGAACTGGCATGGCCAGCACCTCAGTGGAGGTCTCTTTTTCACCATTGCCATACCTGAAGTAGTTGATTTCAGGCTCAGGCTCAGGGCCGTGTTGCTGCCACATTTGCTTGAACTTGGCAAGTGTCTCACGGCCGACAATAGTGCGGCCGCATCCTGAATCGATCACCCCGAAACCAGGGCTTGAAACCAGCAGAGTTTCGTGCACGGTCCAATCAGGAATCGAGAATCTGCTGCTCGCTTCGTGGAACGCAGGATGTCAAGCGGCGACCAACTTGCAAACATCTTCTTGGACGGGTTGTACCAGGGCTGCACCAGTCTCTGAGGAGCCCTTCGAGGAAGAGGACTGCTTGCCTTTGCCTTTTCCTTTTCGACATTCCTTGGACGTGTCCTAATTGTCCACAGCGATGGCAACGTGTCTTTTTCTTCAACTCTTCAACTTCTACACGAAAACTTCTTCTGAGCTCATTGGACTTGGCGGCATTCGAAGAAAAGTTGCGAGCTTTCTGCAACCTCGACAGCTCTTGCCGTCGATCTTTCCAGCTGATCGCCAATGCTTCTGCGACCTCAGCCTCTTCATAGACTTCTTCTTCAAGAGCCTCGTCTAGCTGATACTCAGCAAGAAATTGTTCAACATCGTTGAAGTCGTGGACGAGGTCGGAGATCTCAGAAACGGGCTCTCCTATAGATGGATTCTTCCAGCATTGCAACGCCAGCTATGTGCTTCTTCTTCATCACGAACTCGGGGTAGCAGCTGCGCATTGCTTTGCCGATCTCCTCTCGCTTCATGACCCCTAAGGATCGAGCGACGACCACAGCTTTTTGTTCGTCGTTGAGCCCACTCCTGTGGAGGATCAGCCATCCTCGAGCCTCCTCAGGAAACGTGACATTCGTTTTGCGAGCGCATCGATCGAACAACTCAGTGGCACGGCTAATCCAGGCTTTGAGAGTTTCACCTTCGGCGGCACGAAGATTGAAGATCTCGGAGTCAGCACCTCCGACATCTCATCGGTGACTTCTTTCTGAGGGAATCGCTGATCCAGAAGATCGAACAGAACTTTCTCACCGCCTTCTTTCTGGAATGCGCTAGGATCCAGGTGTTCTACACACTCCAAAGCCTTGCCACTCAAGAGGGTGAAAACATAGGCCCCTCGGGCCTCCTTGGGCATTTTGTCCAGCGTCATCATCTTCGACTGGACCCATGCTTTCCACCGACGGTAGTCCTTGTGGTCTTCGGACTCGCCAGAGAAAAAACTCAGACCACCTTGGTCTTGACTTGCAGCGGCACGCATGGCGGCGCCGAGTTCCTACTCGGAGCCTCGACCGTTTTGGCCGAGGCTCCGCTACCAATGTCGAAACACCGGTAGCCGACCGACTCCAGTCGATCGAAAACCCAACGGGCGATCCTTTTCAGCTCCAGCCGATGAATGTCCCTGCGGATACGACGATCGATATGCTTGCACCTGGAAGGAAGACATGGTTGCGGCACTCATGGAAGTCAACATATATATATATACCCAGACACTCCATGGGACAGCCATATATGCCTATATTGACCCCCAAAACTGCAAGGTAGGCATATATGGCAGTCCCATGGTCCGTCTGGGTATATAGGTCAATATGCCCCAAATGCCAGACAGGTCGTGTCATGTCGTGTCATCACACCATCTCATTCGACCAGTCAATCCGAGAAAGTCCGTCAGACAGTCTAAGCATCTTGTAGCGATGGAACTGGCTGGGATTCGACGTGTAAAGCTCGTAGGCCTCGCGCGGTGCGCAGCGATTCGGCTGTGCTGCCGCGGTCCGGACGTTCGGTGTGGCGCCGGGCGGAGGCCTCCATCGCACCAGGCCACGTGAACTGGGCAGGTTTGATGGGCAGAAGTTCTGCGCCCAGCTTTTCATCCAGCTCATCCCCCAAGTTCGGCGATATAATCTCTACAGATCCAGCGAAACTCGACCCCCGCGCGGGTGAACTCGACCGCCAAACACCCGGGAGGACGGTCAAACACGTGGAGGATCGAGCGTTTCACGGTCCGACGTCGAACCGCGATAACCACGGTCCGACGGAACGTCGCAGCTCTGGAAACACGACCTGGTTCGTAAGGGGAGAAAACCCATACGGAATGAATGCGAAGAATCCGAAGCAAAACCAGGTGAATCCCATGATTTTAACTGGTTCGTGGTCCATTTCTTGAGGTCATGTCTGGGAGCTCATGCCTTGAAGGCTGACGAGTGGACGTGACAGGACGTCTCACCACTCCGATTCACAGAGTTGTGATGCCTCCCACACACTATAGGAATGACGCATGCAAGAAAACATAGCACCTACCAGGATCCGTCCCGACAGGCGCGTCCTGGCCACACGACCTATATTGGGCTTCCAAACAGAGCACCCCTTGGAGGGGGTGCTGGTACATGACGTGTGTGCGTTCGAGTGGTGATGTTTTTGTTCCTTCGCTCAGCCATGACATGCCATGACCCAGTGCAATGTACTTAGTCTGGTGATGCCCAAAGCCGAGTCGGCTCATGTTGGGAGACAACCAATCACGAGCATGAGAATCACTTTCTAAAATATAGTGGAAAAAAAGGAAACACCATTCCCACACGTAGAATCGAATCCCATATACTGTATCACGCCCCACCATCCAAAATCCACTACCTGCCCAACCATCCAGAACCCGCGCGGGCCAGAATCCAGTTTTTTTCCATCAGCCAAGCCCCTGTCCCCGTTTGAACATCCATTCATGCTGGCCATCTTTTGCGCAATCAGGAAACTATGGATCGGAACACTGGGGGACCCTCATTGGATGTATTCGGAGTCATGTGTTCAATCAATCAATCCTTAGGGCCCCAACCACATCCTCAGAAGCATCCGTTCTACGTTGGATGAGCAGCTCAATCAAAAGCTTCAGTTTGTCTAGTTCGGATTGATTCAACGCCCCCGACACGTGTGGAACCAGTTCTTGAGGGTCAACAGGAGGCACCCGGTGTTAGCAGGCTCGTAGTCTGTGTTCGAAAACCCCCTTTCTTCGGGAGGGAACGGTGCTTAAAGACTTGGACACAGGGTGTCAGTGATATGGAAAGGAACCAAAATCGGACACTGGCAAATAACACACACAGCCACCTGGACCAACAAAAACGCAGCAACTCAACATGTTTCCTTCAAGGGATTTCCGCCTTGTCCTTTGCCACGATGGTGGGTTTGCCGTTCTTGGAAAAAGCATCCGATTCCTGATGGTCGGAAAATGGTCTGCACTTGAAATGAGGATGTCATCTATAACTATAATATGAAATTGCAATTTTAAGGGATGTACGCAACCAATGTGTCTTGAAACGACACCAAATTTCACCGTTATTTTTTTTGGTGGACATATCCATATATTGCATAGAAACACGTGTCTCTGAAGTCATCAATTGAAATATGCAACAAGGTCCAACAACATAACCATTATTGCAATGGTCAGTGGTTGGTAGACCGCATGTGGAAGGATTAGGGAAGAAACAGCACGGCCCACCCGCTGTTGCTTGACAAACTGAATTGCAGTGGGTTTTGGATGAAGGTGTCTATATTTTTCAATAAATGGAACATCATGGCAAACAGTGAGAACTTGAAGCACTATGTCAAAATCCAACGAACCATGTTGCATGTTGAATGTGTTTGCATATCCAATGTGTTCACAGTGATGCAACAATGTCACTTGTCAATGAAGGCATACGGGGAAACAAGAACTGTCGACGTCCGCCACCATGTTGGGATCCAATTCTTCTTAGTGGGCACGTGTCTTATTGAAGCATTTTTGGCTATATCACATCCATATACCTCGAACTTTGTTGCGGCAAAAATTGTATGCAATTTTCCTGAAACGGCGCCTATTTCCGTCCTGCGGCGTTCTTCCATATTGGTCTCATGCGGACGGCATCTCTTGATGAACTGCGGCACTTTCGGTCAGTTGAAAGCAGTTTTGGTCCACACATCCATGAGCCTCAAAGAGTCATGATTTTCGTGCAGGCGGCCAGACGAGTATGAAGACATGGCAAGGTCTTGTCTGGAAGGCCTTTGAACATATATTTTACTCAATCAACAAAAACTCATGGTCGTGATTTACATACCTTGACCACGTGTGACTAAACGTGTGAAATGGAAAGAACCGTTCATGGCAGTCATATGGTGGGTTTCGTCGATTCTCGTGGGCATCTCAACTTTTTGCGCGGCAGAATTTTGAGCGGTTGAGTTAATGTCAACCTAGGATTAACAACCCCCCCCCTATTAATCAAGCCCAGCTGGAGCCTTCAATACTAAACTAATTAAAACCCTGCAACCTCCCCCTGAAAATTTTTGTTCCTTGCCAGAAACACCCCCTATTAATCAAGCCCAGCTCACCCAGGAAAAAATATAATAATTGGTGTTCTATGTATTTACTATTACTTTCTTTTGGGCTAGTATCTAAAATCTTCTGGTCCCTAAAAATGGCTCTAGCAAAATTCGTTCATTTCCCCTTAATAAAACTATGTATCAAAGTCTTAGCGTTTTCCAGCTCACAAAGGGTACCCCTCTCACAGGCCTCAGTGTTCACACAGAATCATATCAACCATCATCCATCATCAGGTCATTATCTTTATTAAGGGGACGCGGTCTCCAAAACCTCCAATCTCAAACCTTGTTGACCTTGAAGGGGAGGGTGATTAATCCTACGTCGACGTTACGGCGTTCTTACCTGTACTTACGGCGTTCTTCCCCTTACTTAAAGCATTTTGCCACGAAGTTATGACGTTTCACCCCGTACCCGCTCTGAAGGACATGCAAAGTGAAGGTTGAACCAGAGTGAGCCATAGCTGGGCAGCTTTGAAGTTGACCATCTGACCGTAGGGAACAGGCGGAGGCTTCAAGGAAACGGATGAGTTTGGGGCCATCCTTAGGGGCTCCACGGTGACTCAGGCGCATGCCTGCTATTTTAAAGGAGGACTTGAGGCCTGCCTCCCGGGCGAAGGCCCCCTGGTAGAACACATGTTTGGGAGCTCAACATCAACCATGCTGTGCCTGCCACGAAATCTTCGAGGTTCACAAAGTGCTGTGCCTGCTA